ACCGATGCTTCCAAAAATCATGAGAGTACACATTGCAGTCGTTTCATTCGTGTCCTTTTATCATGGTGCTCTTGCACAGTATGAACACGTGTTACCAAAGAACCCACGTGTTTTCACGACCCAGAACGTTCTTCAGGGTGGCTGGGGACAGGGAAATTCCTCTAGATGGATCCTGTCAAGCCCTTGACAGTATATAGTAGGTATTCTAAAGGCTGAATTTCGGAGAGTCTCCACTGAAAGAAAAAAGATGATAACTAATGATATCTAGCTCACGGAATGTTGGGTCAATTTATATTCCCTGCGAAGCGCCCGCGGACAAGAAGAATATGTGTACACTCTACAGGTAGGGAATCAGTCCGTGATGAATAGAGTGAGACCTGTAGTAACTAGAATCTAGTGGAAACTACTGCCGAGATGAGATGGTTCAATTTGACCACACTCATCTCAGCATGTTCGCAGGATATAATGAGGCAGGTGAGAAGAAATATGTCGGTGGACTTGTGAGAAGCGTTAGGTGGCAAGTCGTCGATAAAACGGCGTCCGTTGCCAATACCAATGGGCACGCTTCAAAAAAAACCCAAATCAGCTGCCCCGGAGAAAGCTGTAGGTCAATTGCAGACTGTGAAGATTACTTTGTCACAGCAAGATGTGCCTCGGGCAAATGCCAAAGAACTGGAGTGAGAGCACAACCAAATTTGTCTGGAAATGTTGAGGTATGGGATTATTAAGTTAAGCAACGTGTCGCTGCAGAGGGAGATCCCCGAGACCAGCTAATACGATAAGGAATATCATTGCTTCCAGTATAACAGAAAATAAAACATGTAAAATTGCTCTTTCTCGCTTATTTACTTTAGCATGATATTTGGGCATGCCACAATTTTGTACCTATTCCAAAGGGGTGTAATCTAGTACATATAATCTTATTCACCGATTGAAAGAGCCTCAAGTACCAGTGGCCTGAGCTTCATACGTAGAATGAGGATCATCTACCTCTTCCCATGAGCCACAAGACCCTCTATGCTGTCAGGATTTGTCCACCAATGAATGCCAGCGTCATCATCGTGACTGCACAAGGTGTCCGGTCCACCAACATCTTGAATGGCATGTCTGACACATATGTCTTGAAGCTCGTAGGTAGTGAATGAAATGGTTGGACCATAATGATCAACAAAGTTTTTCCATTTGAATTGGGAAGAGAAACAGTCTCGTGCCTTGAGCCTATCATGGAGGTGCTCAGCGAGGCTTTCGAAGTCTTGGTAGTCTGATGCCCAATCAAAGACATTCCAAATGATATAGTTGTAATATGCTGGGCCAGTGACATATTTGCACTGAGCCTCTGCTTTATGTGTCGAAATCGTTGTTGGCTCAGCGCCTATAGTTTTGGTCCCATCTTCAATAGTCTTGGCGGGGATAAGCTCAACGTCTGAATTAGCCATAGTAGAAGTCATAGCCGGTTGATAAACCTCTGTAGGATCCCCGACACCAACTGTTTGTGTGTACGGACCAACGCCATAGTCAGTTGTTATTACAACTCCCGAAGCATACATTGTACTTCGACTCATTGGATCAACATCAGTAAAGTCGGTAACAGTTTTTGGTGGTGCAACAGTAGGAGTCGTGAATGCAATAGTGCTGATTGCCTGGCAATTGCCTTCTAGTACTGTAGCTGTGCCTTGTATATGGGGCAATGGTGCCCATTGGGTCAAATCGTTTTTCTCGCATTTGCACCAGCCAGAATCATGATCATCGGAGGGGCCAAGATTGGAACACATCTGTGGATCGGCGGGTTCCTCGGGCGTATGAATGACACCGGTGTCAGGGAAAGTCTTGAGATCAGCGCACTTGGGTCCACTGGTTGGAAGCGAGAAAACGCTGACAGTTGGATCATCTGAAGGACCTCCAATGCAGTTACAGAAGGTTTGAGTTGTGTGTGCTCCATGATACTTGTTTTCATGACAGCTAGCGGAATTGGCCGAGCTTTGTGTTGCCTTGGGACCAGAAGTAACAGATGGGGTTGAAGAAGTGCGTATGAAGCTTGTCATCGGGAAGGTCTTGATGTCACTGCAATCTTTGTCGGTTGGCTTCATGATTTGATGTGTCAAGGAGTGCTTGGACATTGTGGATTCACAACTGCATAGAGAGGAGCTTGTATCAACAACCCGAAGACTGCACATTGCGGTACCTGAGGATGTGGAAGTAGTCTTCGGGGTACTTTCACTTATGGTGCCACTTCCCTCATACACAGACAAGCAGAGATTGAATTGCGACGCGGGAGTTGCTGTAGCAGAAGAGGCCGATGATGTAGAAGAAGCTGTTGGGGTGCTTGAGATAGTGCCACTTCCTTCATAGACAGACAAACAGATATTGAATTGTGACGCAGGAGTAGTTGTGGTAGAAGAGGCCGATGATGTCGAAGAGGTTGTGGGGGTGGTTGAGATAGTGCCACTTCCTTCATAGACGGATAGACAGAGATTGAACGCCGAGGGTGAACTAGTAGATGTAGTAGTAGTAGTAGTAGTAGTAGTAGTAGTTGAACTAGTAGAACTTGAAGGAGTACTAGTAGTCGACGTCTGCTGAGATGTGAATGATTCTTTATCCTTATCGTCGTCATCGTCGTCATCATCATCATCGTCGTCGTCGTTGTCGTCGTCGCCATTGTCACCGTTTTTGGGATTGTCAGGGACTGGATCAGGTGAAGGTGGCGTGGGACCACCAGCTGGTGGGTTTCCAGACGGTACCCATCCTCCACCGAGACCCCAGCTACTGTCGTGAGGACATAGTATAGGGACTATACAGCCACCGCTAGTACCTCCACCAGTGCTTCCACCACCAGTGCCACAGATATCGCTCAGCGAACATCCCCAGGCGAGAGTAGGTTTTGAGTCCTTGGAGGTAGTGACCGAAGTACCAGTGAAAACAACACTGCTAGTCTCATGATCTTTGGTAATCGGGATGGTCTAGAAGAGTTAGTGAGATGTACCTTTTGTTCACGCGAAACAACTTACCGTTCTATGAGCTATCCCAACTGCGGCAGCCCCCCTGCTACTACTTGTACCGGTAATTGTTTTCGAAGACGAAGAACTTTCCAATTCGGCGTTTGACGAGCTGGGAGGGGATGAAGATGCCAGTGGTCCTGAGCTCTCTGGTGAACCAGGGGAGCTAGTGTATTCTGAACCATGTTTCGTGCTGGATGGTATCGACCCCTGAGAGCTTAGATGCGGGTTATGCGTGGAGCTGTGCTGTGCATCCGACGGAAGAGTGCTCGGCTCCCCCGGATGGCGTGTCCCAGAGTTTTTCGAACTGCCAGGGTCTTTGGGGGTGCCAGTCTCTTTGGAATGATGAGTGCCGGACTCTTCAGGACGACCGGTAACGGAATCTTTGGGAGTGCCAGTCTCTTGAGAATGGTGAGTGCCGGACTCTTGGGGATTACGTGCGGTGGACTCATTAGGAGTGCCAGTTTGTTGAGAATGATGAGTGCCGGACTCTTGAGGTCGACGGGTAGCGGAATCTTTGGGGGTGCCAGTCTCTTTGGAATGATGAGTGCCGGACTCTTCAGGACGACCGGTAACGGAATCTTTGGGAGTGCCAGTCTCTTGAGAATGATGCGTACTGGACGCTTGAGGGTGATGGCTGGAACTAGGAGAAGGTGTATTATCCCGAACCCAGAGTACACTTGTTACAGTTTCATCATGGGCTATGTTTCTCGCTTGAAGAACACTCGCATCACCAACGACTGAAGAAAAAAGTAAATATAATTTCCGTGAAACAAATGCAAGGACTTCTGAAGTACGAACCTGGATCCTCATTGTTTGGAGAAAGGCTTGAGCCCTCAGATTGGCATACGAGGGCAAGCGATGCTACAATCACCGCCCAGAAAGGTTTCATGACGAATTTTGTTAAGCAGGAAGTTGCAAATTCTACTTTAATGGAGAAATCCAGGGCAATTGCTGTATTTATGCTACGTCCTAATTGTGTTTTCGCAGAACGGTTTCTATTTTTAATGCGCTTGATTTGAGATAAAGTCCTAGTGACTTCATCAAAATGGTATATTTGGGGCCATTTACTAAATGTAATAATAACCTGGCCAAGCGATCAGGTTGAGAATTTGAAGCTGATACAAAGATTGCCGTCATTGTGTGAAGTATTTCGGGGCCGCGGAAGCGCAAAGTGAAGAATTGGGGGCTGTTTGTTGATCATAACCGCGCTTAATTGGGGCCTTGGGGGCCAATTGGTCTAAGCTTAAGCATCCACATGCCCAATGGCGAGGGGGCCGGGGGGATCTTCAAGCTTTCGGGCCCCACACTTGGCTCACGTACCTTGCATATCAAACGACTAGAAGATAGTAATGTACTGCAATATTCAGTTCACAAATTACTCTGGAACGCAGTAACAGGATATCTCAACATATATGAAATTTCAATTTTAGTCTATATTTATCGATTATGACGCTTATTATCTACTTCTCTAGGTGTGTGTGCGTGCAATATGTGAAAATAAAGAAAGTGGACATTCAGTTCGCCCTTGGCCCCAAATTTTGCGCACTTTAGAAGTTGGCAAACTTGGACATGAATTTCATTTGGAATACAATTAGACCAGCCATTACACTCGAATATACAAATTTAGATCAAACAATGGGTGGATTGATGAAGATCACAACTTCCAGGTCCAGTTTTACACCAATGGGGGCCATGGGGCCGAAAGGGCGGCTAGATGGGGCCAGCGACCCTGATCAACAGCGAAGGTCATTGCAACATGCCATTGATCTTCAAGAGTGATTTGAAAATTCTAGATTTCCATAAATAGGTTCGAACATTGAATTCTCTGGTATATTTAAATAGAGTCGACCAGGCAAGCCAGTGCTTCTCATTCTGTTCTATTCATCCAAATCACCCGCCCGACTCCCAATTTCCACATCGTCGAATTCAGGTCTAAATCTTTGAGATCTTTGATTATAATATTCTATCAATTATTTGCCACCTGCTAGGTGCATACCCATCATCATGGTCTCGGGCCCTTTCATGTCTTTCTTCCTTTTGATAGGACTGATTGCCAATTTGGTCTTGGCTGGTGTCCTCGGCATTGCAAAAGATACTTCGCTCGAACCCTACAAACTGCATTCCTACGGCTCTGTTTGCGACTTCAAAAATGAGCCTTCCAACGACCAATTTTTGAACTTGATCCAACAAGCATATGATGACATGAGGGAATTGACCGATAAAGTCCAAAAGAATCATCATAAGCCAAGCGCAATGATTGGTCTAGCCATTGGAAATCAAGTTTATTTCTCCTCTTCAGTAAGAAGTGACAAGAGCAAGCCTATCATATACAAACTGAGTTATCCTAAGAAAGGAGGAGACGGCTCGTTCAACAAGCTGCCTGAGATGCCTGAGCAGTTCAAAAAGGTCACAGATGCCCTTGAAGCTTGCTCGAAAGAGGCGAATTCGGACCCCCAACATAAGAGCAACGGAATGTGTGGTGAGCTCACGTCCACAATGACATGGATGATTGATAATCCCGACAAGGACATATCGAAAGAGAATCCTAGGGTCGCTGCATGGTGGGGGGGACGGTTATCTGCCTCCCTGTTCCGGCGATCCAGGATCGCCCCAATGGGGGTGCAATAAATGGACCAAGGAGATGAAGTTTGAGGTTATAGAAGACACGAATAAAAACAGAGATCGAAAGGATACCCCGGAGCCTACAAGCACAAAAAACGTCGCTTTGGAAAAGTGTGCAAAGGTCGAACAGCCTAAGGGAAAAGGCAAGGGGGGTAAGCGGGACGAGGAGTCTTCTTGAATCCCAAAAATAGGATATTGTATCCGGGTTTTGAGGTGATGAGGATGTGGGTAAATGAAATACCTGATATATACTGGTGTGGTAACGGTTACTCTATGGAATGTAAATAGATTTGATCTCATTAGAATTTCTCTGAAATAATTACCACATTCCTAAGACGTCATCATATATCGTAGAAGCAATTGCGCCTCGCAAAAAATTAAACAGATAAGACTTTAGAGTATGAACAGGGAATAATAGACGGTGGTCATAATTGACCAGCCAGTAGCTTTGAAAGGTTTCAAGGCAGTATTCTCTGTATCTCACGTCCGCCTTATCTTCATAGCGGAGTTGACTTTCAGAGAAGCCCCTATTCAAATTAAGATATTGCAGAGATATTTTTGTCTTTTATGAGACAATTGAGCTGAATAATTTTAGATGGCATCTTTATTATATTATTGATATCATATTAATTCTATGTAACCAAAAGGGCCCAGAACATGATTAAAATTTTTTCTGTCACCCAATGCCATTTCAAAGGAGAAAAAGGCTCTATTATAAAATCCCCTCTGACTGGAGTGGAATGTATGAGAAAAAGCTACCGGTTTTTTTCTTTTTTATATATATTCCATTGTTTAGTTAATGACTATTGACTTTGGATAGGGAAATTTATCATTGAAAACTCATTTTATTACTGATAATATTTATTTTTGGGCCACTGTATGAGATAAAAATCTCCAACACGCCCCAATCAAGCTTCGCTCTGCACCTTGATTTATTGGCCCTAGACAATTAATGTAACATGAATCATCAGAGTCTCTGAGACTAGCAGAATGGGGATTCTGAGCTGATTGGATCCAATGGTCTCCAAGTCGTAACGTATTCGTGAAGTGTCCTACTGGCCGTCCAGAATCCAGCTGGTAATGCGTCAGGGCTGAGAGCGATATGCATGTCCAGTCCTAAATCCTGGCATAGTGATCGAGCGACGGTAGTTTCTTCCTGAGCAATGTGCCCTCTGGAATCCATTGCAAAGTCTCGAATGATGATTGTTTTGAGTAGCGGTGCCGAAGTTTGTGCCGAAGGGAGAAACTTCTGGATAGCCCTGGCCACAGCATCAAGCCCCCATTCGTAAGTTTCCCCCGGGCTGAAATCCTCGACAACCTGGGTGTCGCGCGCCACACAATGAAGGTTCTCCCGAATGGCGAGCTTTTGGAGTGTCGATGGCAGCAGTTTGCTTAAACCCTGTGCGTCATCATGAACCCACCCGAAAAGCATGGCTGCCGGTAGCTCTGCGGTTTCAAGATGGGGCAATCGCTTTAAAAACCCTCGAAATGGCAACAATCCTTCTTCAATGTTACCAAAGTCATTTTCATCCCATTGTGAGCCCAGATTTATTGGGCAAAGCTCAATACTGATCGAAAGGTTTTTGACTGTTCCCCCTATGCTTAAAAGTCCTTCAAGAAAGGCGCCTTTCGTTTGCTTTCTAAAAGGAGGACGAGGGGACTCAATATCTGAGCCCGCTGCTTCATCCTGAGAAGGATAAACCAGGCCTAAATGAATTGTTTCTATTGATGAAAGCAGGGACAACAAGTCTCTGACTTCATTTTCATCAATATAGGACTCCATAATAACAAGCCTTTTGAGCTTGGCTAGATGGTTCACATTGCTCAAATCAACACCCGAGAAGTTTTGAAGCCAGATCTCTAGCGATTGCAGTGAAGGAAAATAAAACCAGCCTGCAAACTGGTCGGGGTCACAGGTCGGGAATGCCTCGGGGAAAATACAGCTTGACGGGTTGCCCTGAGATACTCGGCTGCAAGGAACATTCAAGCCATATTCGACGATAGAGAGCTCAGAAAATTTTGATAAAGTATTAGGTGGTGCAGAAAGAAGGGCATGTCGAATCATGAGACCTGGAAATCCGGACTGCCACACGAAGGTATAATCCAATCGTAAAGATCGCAGGTTGTGAAGCTGGGAGAGGATAATCGCCACAAATGCGTAGGGATCACCTTGATCTAGCGCCTGCATCCACCTCTGTGGGGATGGAAACTGTGCTCGACTGACAATTTCTTTTGCGGTATCTACCTCACTCTTGAATGAAGCTGAGAGCTCCTCCCAGTTTCCATCAACTTTCGGGGGGTACCATTGTGAAAGTTGGTCCTTTGCGGGGTACTCCAGGCGAGATGAGATCATGCGAACATGGCGAATATGCGCGGCTAGATCTGGTCGCTGATGAACCACGCGAAATAATGATAAGACCCGTTTAAGAGGAGGTTGAGTCCAGTCAATATCGATTTGACGATACAGAGATTCCTCGGAAGAAATATTCAGGGTTCGAGATGCAGAGCCAGCCGAAGCAGCATCGGATGGAACAAGATGATCAAGAATTTGCATCAAACATTCTTGAGGGACTTCCTCAATGGAGCTATAGCGGAAAATCAGTGTGAATTCTCAAGAAGCAGGAATCAAAACATACCTTAATGTGGACTGTGTGCGATTCATGATGGTGGGGGAAATGAGATTAACAGAAGGTAGTGAATGTTTGCGGAAGCAGCGAAAGAATCTGAACATGAAATCTAATTGTATTTGTATTCACTGAAGGAAATAAACTTAAGTTATTTATAAGTTGAATGACAAATTTTGGGGGCGAAGGGGGCTGCAGTGGGAATTGGGGCCAAGATGATGTCGGTCAGACCCACCGCGCAGTCTTTTAAGCGTGGGACTCTCTTGGCAGATGGTTCAAGCTCTTACGTAGCATAAAACTCACCCATAAATGACTCCTACCATGATACAATATGGAACGGGTTTAAAAACAGGAACAAATCAGGCACTTGGATAGACTAGGTTTTGGAAATCGAATTTCAAATACACAATTTGCCTATCGACTGGCGGTTAGGTTGTCCCTGTCTCGGAGTCGCGGTCGACTTTTGGGAAACATCTACCTCTCTGCTGTAATGATGATACCCATTCCCCGGATTCTGTATCAACTTTTCCATCATCATCGCCTTTTGCATCGTACGGATCCATTTCTGTTTCATGAAGGAGAAGACTTTCTCTTTCTGGGCTTACGCTCATTCTATCCAATAGTTTGTTGGCACCATAGTCAACGTTGCTATTACTGGGGACTGGCGCGTTAGGGTGAGAGATACTATCACGTTTTGATTCCCGCAGCCCGGTTCAATGGCGCCAGTCTCTATCGCACGCTGACCTGCAGAAAAAGCGAAATCACCGGAATCAAAGTACGTTCGTTCCTTTAGTCCTGTAAGCGGGGGGGATGTAAAAGTTTAGTCAAAGCTTGAGTTTACCTTGTAACTCTTGTCAAGCAAGTATCCAAGAGGCTGCTTTTCGTATAAACTGAAATGAAGTTTCTCCCTTTCAGATAGTGGCTGCAAGAGATGCTGTCAGCGTCGCAACCCTCGGTCTGCGATAAGACCTCATGCTTACTTCCGGTTTCGAGCTTTTGCGTCCGGTTTGAATTTTCAGTGAACCTGGATATTTTTCAATAAATATCACTAAGAGAAACTATCTTCATAGCCCCCGCTCGATAAAGAACATATGAAATTTTCGCCACGCATAGATGTGTCATTGACGTAAGCTGTGGGCCTGTGGCTAATATCTCTATATCACGTGATCATCAAAGTAAGGCTAGCGCCGCTCGCCAAAACCCGCCCACGAAAACGAAGTGGGAGTTGATTGTTGTGTTAAGTGTTGTAGATATAAGTAGGCTGGTGGACAGCTATAAATGTACGCACGTGATCTCAGTCCCCATAATTATCTCAGTAACCGGGATATTCAACACTCCCACTCGCTAATCTGCTTCGTCAGAAGGATATCAGGGATCTTTCATCACGGTTGCCAGGCCCCATAAAAACCTTCCAAACCCAGTGGTAAAAAGGAAGGGAAAGGTGCCTGCACCTTCCTGGTTTGAAGCCTCGTGTCTGACCAGACTATCACTCGATGCCGAGGCCCTTTTGAAACCATGCAAATCTATCTCGAGCAAAGGGCTTCGTTAAACAATCCGCAATCTGCTCTGTAGTTGGGATATACTTCAGTCCCACTGTCCGGCGTCTTGGACTTCTCCTTGCCACTTTCGTTGGATATCAATATGCCTTGTACGCGGATGATATTCAGGGTTTGAGGCTACCGCAATAGCTCCCTGGTTGTCGCCGAAAATGATCGTTGCACGTTGTCCCTGGCCTATATTCAGCTCGTGGAGGAGTCTTCTCAGCCAGATAGCTTCCTTTGTTGCTTGCGTCTGGCCTATGAATTCCGCTTCGCAGGTTGATAGGGCAACAATATTTTGACGTTTTGATTGCCAGCTGATTGCTCCACTTCCAACGTTTAGTAAACCGCCTCAACGCCCAGCGAAAATGCGCCAGCCCGTACAAATTTCGATTGGAAATCTCTGGGTCTGGGCAGAATAACACCAAATAATTAATTAGCTGTCTGCCTGAATAAGTGGTTGAGTCATTCGAGAAAAGACGCACTAACACAACTCGTAAGCGAGTCAGCCAAGCTCTAGGCGCGCTTTTTTGGGACCTGAATGATCGGACAGATTTAACTTGTCACTATTGAAATTATCTCAACAATTTCAAAAAGCTCAACTCAATTAATTAAATAATGCAATTCTAGTAAATTAGGGCCCAGAATGAGAAACAAAAAGTGTTAAAACAAAAGTCATGGGATAATAGTAGCGGCCTGAAGCCTGAAACAAAGCAGAACGACAAACAAAATCAAGAAATAAAACATCATGATTGATAAAGGAGCGGATCATAAAGCAAAATGGGAGGAATTTTTCATGAATTTTCTCCGTCAATCAACATTATGGTAAAGGGTGAAATCTTCTCACATTCTCCTGCCTCTCCTGATCTTCATATAGGCCAAGACTCCACACCCGACATATATGGTAATCATTATGGCCTGTGGAATAAATCCCATGATAAAGTATATCGCCCAGCTGCCTGTCATGATATTAAATCTGGTAGTGTGCCCAGTACGACCTGAGGTGTCAAGATTTGCTGCATTCAGAAGAGAATACAGAATCCGTAGAAACAGGAGCGGTAGGATGATCGGCATCCCAGTGATAATATAATATGAAACTGTCGTCAATGACTTTCGGTGCTTCCATAACCTCATCACACCGAACACGATGGCTGCGAATGCTATGAGGAACATCGCAGCTGAAACCTTTGAAAGTGTTGCACCACGGTCATACTTGTCGGGATTAATGGCCCCAGTTGAGCTATCAGGCATGCGGTCAATGCCACCAATAATCCCCATCACTAGGCCAACTATAATGACAGGGTGAACAAGACGGAGTATAAGTGATGAAATGCTCGAGCCATTCGAGGGGGCAAGCGGAGAGTATGCAGGCCCTGCCTTTCCGTCCTCTGTTGTTGATGGAGAAATGTTGATGAACGAGAGCGTAGCGGACATGAGAGGACCCAGAGCAATCTGATACAATATCTGGGCAGCTATCTGAACGCCCGAAGATGCTGGTGAATTTCGAGAGATGTATATTAGGAGGGCAGGACCGGCAATTTTTGCTATTGATGGTAAGTCTTTGCAAAACATGGTACTAGGGGATGATGTGGATTCTTACCAGTCGTGAATGCCTGGAGGTAAAGCCATGCAGTTTGTCTCTTGAAGAGATAATAAACTGTACAGAAAGTCGCAGGGCCCAAGATACCCACATAGAGAGCAAGCTCTATACAGGCAAGGATTTCGTGCGGTTGCATGGCGAGATCGGGTGTTTGTTGTCCGTGTCTGGTACTGTCTTATCGTATGCCAATGTGAACATTTGGCTCCGACTTGAATGAATTATGACTATATATACTCTCTAGAAATTACTTGAACTTAAGCCTTTTGGGAAACTGCTCGTAGGTGCTAAGCATTCCAATGGCTTACTAGTAATCTTTCTTTACGGTCGGGTCTCAGCTGCCCCACATAAAGTTCCTACGGCCGGAGCGCCTACGGCCGTAAGCTCAGCCAGGTCTGGATCTTATGCCGACTATTTGCCTATCATGCTCACTTACAATTCGAAAGCGTATTCAAGTCAAGGACTCGAAATTATTTGAGTTGAACTAGTATATTTAGGCTTTATAACTTGGATTAAAGGGTAGAGTCCTCTAGTATTGTTTAGTCTTCGGTGGTTTGGCGATTGGTTCAAATAGGACAAAGGACTTTCTTGACTTGGAAAGAATATCAGGAATTTGATAAGACCCCCATGGCTTATACAAAGCTATTTGAGTTGACAAATGGGGCTCGCTTTGATTTTGATTTATGACCACTCCTGAGATGGTCTGCATAAAAGAGAGCGCCTCCCGAAGTATACCGAGCTCGAAGTAGAGATATAAGGATACGGACCTGAGTCATAGAATAATTGCATATAAAATACACCGCAACAATAAAAAAAGACCCAAAAGTGACATGAAGAATAAAGAACAGGTTGAACCCTTCCATGGCTTCAACGACTAGCCGAGTCGTTCAATCTTTCTTTCTAACCTTTCGCGGCGACGATCACGCGTGGATCCATGACCTCCATGACCTTCATGGTGCCCTTTAACAACATTGCTAGCCATGTTTGCGACGACTGCTCCTGCCAAAGCACCACCAATTGTTCCTAGGGTACCGTGGTCAGACTTTTTCCCAACTTTGTGCCCAAGAAAAGCTCCCTGTGAAAGAGAACAAAAGTCAGAATTTTTTTTCACATTCCAAAGCTAGTCTATACATACTCCCGCGCCTCCGACTACTGTTGCACCGAGACCCTTTTCCTGACCAGAACCTCCGTTATTTTGTTTGGCTGAATCGAAGTTTTCCCATTGGCGTTGTTGATCCAATTCCATATTTTCGTGATTTGAAAAAGTTCTCAAAGGCTCCCCCTTTTAATAATGAGAAAAATATTCAGCATTGAGCTGCTAAGACGAGTTTGTGGTTATCTTACCTGGCTAGAAGAGGAATCTGTGTTTGTTAGGTAATGAGGTTGTTGAGAACCATTCACTTGAAATGTATACTCAGGCACACTATTTCCGTAGTATTCACGGTTCGACATTTTGCTTCAAATGATAGTCGACGGTCGAGATGGCCGAGCTTTCTTTTAGAAACAGATAATTGAAAAAGAAATGAGAATTACTGTGTTCGAAATGAGATTGATCTCAAATTTGCGAGACCCATATATAAAGAGCAAATTCATATGCTTATTTATAACATCGGGATTTTGAAGTTTTCTGAAACTTTCGGCCGTATAAAAACGTATGTCAACGCATCCAGAACGAAGCCAAGGCGGCTGTCGAACTTCCAAGACGAGACTTACGGCCGTAAGGCCCTGATGTCTTGGCACTCCGGCCATCACGACCATCTCCGACAACTACGCGGGAGACGAGTAGTAACGAATAGAACCACGAATAGAACAAAAGGCTGAAGTTAAATATTTACGAGAACCCCACTTCTTAGACTATAACTACCCTGGGGCTTTGTTGATATATACTCCACAGTAAGCAACCTTCTCAGGGGATGAGATCTACGGCCGGTAGGACGCCTCCGGCACTTCTAAACGCAAGTTGATAGGTCACTGGTTTAGATAAGATAATAAGGTGTAAATTTAGATGGACGCTCCAGGGCTTGCGAGCGTTCAGAGCCCTGATTTCTGAACTGAAGTCAGAAAAACCTTGGAACTTCATAGCACTTCCAGTTGCGGGTCTAGTCCAGACCTAGTGTTAGGTATAAATGTGGCTAACCCCATGGTTTTATCTGCACAATTACAGATCTGTACTTCCAAACTCTACCCATCCACACTCATCAAGACTCTCAGTTTGTTGTTTTATCTTTGCATATTTCAAGATATGATTGCGAGCAGAACACCCCCTTCTGAGTGCACGGAGGTCACTCCTGACTGCCCAGTGGAGGGAACTATCTACGGCTATGCGCCCAATGCCGTGGCAAGTTATGCTTTTTGCATCATATTTGCAATTTGCGCCTTGGTACAGGTAATTCAAATGCTGAAATGGCGCACCTGGTCCTTTGGTGTGGCCATGTTTCTTGGAGCTATCTCTGAGGTCGCCGGTAAGCGAATTCCATGTATCCGCGGGCGCCCGGGTAGATTTCAAGGAAGACACTAATATTCTTCATAGGATATATTGGTCGCATACTTTTGCACAATAACGCCTACTCCTCCACAGGATTTGAGACACAGATCTGCACTCTCACCATGGCCCCCGCTTTTTGGTCGGCTGCTATTTACTTGACCTTGAAGCACGAGGTGAACATCCTGGGTCCTAAATTCTCCATTCTGAGGGCTAAATGGTATCCCTTTATTTTTGTAACTTGTGATTTAATCTCACTGTCATTGCAAGGTGCTGGTGGCGGACTCGCTGCTACAGCAACCACCACTCAGGGTAGCGCAGTTGGGAGCGATGTCATGCTAGCTGGAATTGTCTGGCAAGTTGCTACCTTGACAGTGTTTGGCATTCTCTCTGTCCAGTTCTTTCTCAGAGTTAAGAAAGTACCCAAGTATCAGTTGTCTGTGGATGCCCAGAAGTTGTGGAAAAGCCGCAAATTCTGGTTTTTCTGTTGGGGTATTGTTGTCGCGTTCACTACCACCTATATCCGTTGTGTCTACCGGTGAGTTTCCTATCAAAGAGAGATGACAAGCAGCTTATAGGGAGCTAACCATTCATCCTTTCTTTTGAAGTATTGCTGAAATGGCCGGAGGTTGGAGAAATCCTATCATGCAAGATGAGACCGGCTTCATTGTTTGCGAGTCGATGTGAGTTGCTCATCCAATCCTTTCCCCCAAATAGTTACACGTGAGGAAAAACTGGCAGATTATGCTGATCAATTCTGTGTATTTTAGAATGTGCGTTTTGTCTGTGGTAGCTCTTTGCATCGCGCATCCTGGATTCTGCTTTGAACAGATGCGTGGAAACTATACGAAGGTAGTTGCTGAGAATACGAAGCTACTAGAGGAAAAGACCGAGTACAATAATGCAGTGTGATAGCTGGACGCCAGGAAACTTTTTTCTTGCTTGGAAATCATTCTTCTGTGCACTAGAGTGCGAGTTTTTGATTTATTTTGATGCTCATATACCTCTTCGAGGCTTCATGTTACGATTCATGCATTTCATTTCGTCATTATTTCGAGTAGTTAATTACTATCGTTGTTACAAAATCCGATTTCGTTTAATTTATTGATCCTCTGCCCCCACAAAAACGCTTTATTTACCGAAGAAGACAATATATGAGTAATCTAGAACTGATATTGAGCATTCGTGACGCATATTTAAAAGCATGCCGATATTATTTATTGAGGCATCTTTCTTGATCAATATTGGAATTAAGTAGATAAAATTGTCTCTCAAGCCCGCCTCGTTTATACCAAATGAGTTTGTTTGACTTCCTATATTGTCCTCGAAGCTTTACAGCCAATTTCATGATGACACGGCTTAAGTTGAGCGTCATTTTAACCCATCCACATGATTGGCGGGCGTATATCACCTGGGTAATGCGATATTCTTACGGCCGTACCCCTTTTTCATTCACAAACTGCATGCTAGTCCAAAAGCCTTTACTCCGTATTATCCGATCCCGGTTTAAAGATCTCAAAGGCTCATCTTCCGTAACATGTAAGCTGATACGGCCGAGTAAATCTATATCTTGGAGCAAAGTAGTATTCATAGAATTGAATTTAAGAGCTGGGGCACGCTTGAAAAGATGATTTAGAATTCAAGAACTTTTCTCAAATTAATTTGGATCATTACAAAATGCTTTGGATTCTTGCTGGATTTAGTATCCTTCCCGTGACCCTGGCAGCCGCCTTGTCCGGGAACATCGAGATCTCCGTGAATGATGTTACTGCGCCAAATATTGTCAATGTGCATCTCATTTATCACGAGCCTGACTTCAAAAAGCATTCTTTCACATATGGTAGTTGCGATATTGCCAGTCCTGTTAATTCGCTCCATCGTGTTGCAACTATTCCTAGTGGCCCTTCTTCTGGTCATGACAGTCGACTGGTCTGGGTTGTGCCAGACAATGTCTCTCCAGGAGGCTGCATCGCAGCATGGGATATGGAAGGTGCTCGAATCGGTCAAAGTGAGCCTCTGTCACTGGACAGCATTCTACAAGACAGCTTCACCAAGCGCGATCGTATTCCTATGACAAACGAATCTGGTATTGATGCAGAAGGTCCTTGGTTCAATGGCGTGACTTTGCTCAAAAGCAAGGACTTTGGCGCCGTGGATGCAAAGAAAATTAAGGAAAAATGTAATCGCTCCAAATCCTCACAAAATTCAATAGCTAACAGTTTTATTCTAGCTATCGGAATTTTAGGTGCTGGAATATCGGGCTTGATGACCCACGTAAGCTTCCTATGCCTACGGGGATCCGGTCAAAATATGAGTACTAACTGGCTTCAAAGTTCCTTCTTCAAAGTGTGGGATTTCAAAACATCGAAATTTCGGAGTCTACGGGTCGCGTTGGAGGGTAGGGTCTCTGAATTTTCAAACGTGCAGGACTAACATTGTTTAGTCGAATTCGGACCGAATACTTTGAATTACCTGAATCGAATTATCAATATCAAGAAATGGGTGCTATGCGAATTCCACTGACGGCACCTATTCCTTTGGGTAATGAGACGTTGACATTGAATTTTACGACCCACCGAATCGTGTTCCAGCTTTCCGAAACGCTCAATGAATTGAACAAGCAGCATGAGTCATTTAAAGTCGATTGGATCCCATTTATCCAGAACAGCGACAACGCGCTGTCTCTCAATGGAAAGAAGCGAAACCCAGATGGCTCTATCCCAACAATTGGTGATGTCTCTAAGAATAGCTCGCTGGGTGCATCTACAATTCACACTGCTGTTTTGGAGAAGCTCAATGCCGAACTAGGAAAGATCATGTACGATCCCTCAATGATGAAACTCATCGCAAGCAACGTGTATGAGGCGCATAAGAAATTTCTTGGTATCGTTACCTATTTCCAAGCATCCGGAATTAATCACTGACATGCTTTTAGACGTGGGCCTCAACGGCAGAGGAGGAGACCAATGGTCTCAGGTGGCTTACCTGCATAACCTCTTAGGATTTGATCTCAATACTACCGAAATAGCTGGTGACCTATCCAATGTCGATGCCCCTTTTTGGGTTAACTTGTGAGATTCCGAATGAATGTCTAGGCCGGGGATGGGCAACTTATACTTTATTGTTGCAGATACGACAACCTCTTTTTCTCCTCTACGGAATGGAAGACCGTTGACAAAGGTTAAACTAAAACAATCAATCACAACTTTGGAATCACTTGAAACTAATATTTCTTTCTAGGAATGAGTCGGCTCCCTAATGCCTTCAAGCCGCTAGTTGGAGATGATCTTAAATATCATCGGAAAATTCAGAAAATTGAATACCTCGAAGACGAGAAAAAGGTCCAGGTCTCCTGGAAGAAAAACTACACCGATCGGGGATTTCAAAATGCCAAATACGACTATACCTTCGTTGCGGTTCCTTTCACCGTCGTCCGGAAATGGGAACTTCCAGGTATTTTAACCTTACCATTATTTCTCAACTTTCTCAACTAATCTTGAACTAAAGACTTATCTACAACATTAAGCCATGCTGTTGCCTCTCTTGGATACACATCTGCCTGCAAGGTATGGTTTATACTACAGTCCTAGTGGGAGAAACTAACTTTTTTAGGTTGCCCTGGAGTTTAAGACACGTTTCTGGGAGCACTTGTCTCGCCCCATTTTTGGAAGTTGTAACACCAAGACCGATATTCCCGGTATTGGTAATGTTTGCTATCCAGGATTTAACATGAACAGCAGTGGCCCTGCAGTTATCCTCGGAAGCTATAATCTGGATGACTACGGTGAGCGCTGGGTGTCGACCCCGGAAAAAGAACATGCTCAATACGTGCTTGATGCATTTGCCCAGCTTCATGGTGATATAGTTTACGAGCAATACACTGGGAACTTCAAGCGCCTGTGTTGGCTAGAAGAGGAATCTAATGCTGGCGGCTCTTGGGCTTTTCCAAGCCTTGGGCAGCATCAGCTTTTTATTCCCTCCTACTTCAATACCGAAAAAAACGTGAGTACAGTTGTTAACAAACGATGGAAAGCTCGTAGCGCTCGAAGCTAAATTTGATAGATCATTTTCATTGGCGAGCATACTTCGTATACTCATTCATGGAGTAAGTAATAACTAAGACTTTTTTTTCAAATTTTCCATTGAAGTTTGGACGAATCTGACTCGCCATTCTAGTTGCTTCAGCTTTGGAAAGCTCCGTCCGGGGCACTGTTCAGCTTCTTCTAGGTATGTATTCGCTCTGAAGTCTTCACTGCATATGGGACTAATGTAATGATACTGAACAGAAATGGGGTTGGTCGACGAAGCAAAGGAAATTACAAGGACTTGGATGGGAAGATGGGTGACAGTGTAATTTGAGAATGGACTCGGAGCTTGACTGGTGCTTTGGATAGGGTATGACCTTGTATTGTCTGACTTATTATTTTGTAACATATAGATAATAGCTAGCAGGCAGAGGAGGCGAAACGCGATTTGATCAAGCCTAAACTCTTGGAATACTTATGGTTTTTCACATTTGGGAATCCTGGAACTATTTGAAAAAAGATCAGATTAATAGGAAGATTTTAATAGTAATTTTCCTGTGACTTCGGCTTCGAGCCAGCTGACACCGGGGGTTACCAAGACCACTGGAGAAGAATGCCAGAGCCCAGGAGCGCGTATTGTTCATTTCAAAAACTCCTCCTATAGGCCTATACGCAGGGAGGTAAGAGATGAAGCAATTTCAAATTTTCAATGTAGTGGATCACAAACGGTGGTAACTACGAGTAATGATATTAGTGGTGTGTTTGTGTGAGGCGTGGGGGCAAGAGAAGTCAATCCAGTGGACCGTTAGTAGAGCTTGGCTGCCCGCCTAAATTCAACGTAAAGGTCCGAAGACGAGAAAGAAAGGTACGTCGATAGTGACACACACTTTTAACCATAAATAGAAACACATTCTGCGGCCTGCCAAAGAAGCGAGAACGCCATCCCAATGACACTGCGCCCCAATATATCGTTTTCCCTCACAGCCTTATGCTGACGGAATGGCGTCCCGGCAACTAAGCCACCACAGGGTTCAGCTCAATTTGCCGAAAACCTGCCCCACTCATGATTCAAGCCAATGACAACGATATTTGGGATGTTCAAGGTTCTGCACGTGCTCAACAGGAATGTCTACTTCAGGCTAAGGGCTTATTGGGGATAAGCGTTAGCAAGTTGCATTAGAGGAAAACCCAGCCCCAAAATCCCCCCCCACATTCTCCTGGTTTTCCAACCTCTTCAGCCTCCATCTTTGCGAGGAACCGGACTGCAGACATGTCTCATTCAACCAGTATTCAATCGACTCCGAGAATATCGCCTGAAAGTGGCACTGGAAATGGGGATGGAGAGTCCAAGGCCCGCGAGAAAGCTCGTCGCCGCAATCGAATCATCCACTCGTGCCTGGAATGTCGTCGGCGAAAAATGAAATGTGATAGAGGGGTAACTTCAATCTAGCAATTGAACCGTAGAAAAGGCTTGTCTAACAGCGCAACTAGGAGCCTTGTGATAACTGCAGCAAATCCGGGAGACAATGCGTGTTTGTCAATTCCGCTACCGGTGACGATGCTCAATTACGTGAGAGATTGGTTGAAATGAAAGAAGCTAAGGATGCTATCGAGAACTCCTTTCAGGACAATATAGGAAGCCAAAGCCTGCAACCGGGGGGAAAAGTACCGCATCGCAAACGGTCGAGACTCCTCGACGAAGTCCGGGGTGATGAATCAGACAGCTCGACGGATGATGGATTTCTGGAACCGACACCCCTAGCCGTTAATGATGCTGCGTATGAGGATGACTTAGATGGGGCTGTGGACGATTTAGGTTTCAAAATTGGGCGAATGCGACTGAGTGAGAGAATTGGGGGTCTATACCGCCCACGAATAGCAGATGAGGTATATTATATATGACCGAGATATTTAGGTTGCAGCGGCTGATTTTTTTCAGATTCTTTCTTCTCTTGAGAACATTCCAAAGCGAGGTTCTTCAGTGATACCATCAACTCCAAACTCTGACTCGGCCAAGGGATCAATAAAGCTCAAGCAATCTGCGTCAGCATCCCCGGCCGACTTTATCTTCAGCCAAGGCTCTTCCGGCGCCTCTAGAGTGGAGAATATCGTTTCTCGAAATATTGCAGACAGGCTTCTTGAGCGCTACTGGGACTCTGTCCACCCGGTAGCCCGTATTCTACATCGCCCCTCATTTGCGCAACGATACGAAACGCTCTGGGAAGCTGTCGAAGATGGGTATCAGGAAAACATTACGCCCTCTCTAGCAGCAATTGTATTTTCGGTTCTTCTCTCGGCTGTAGTGAGCATGTCTGAAGCACAAGTACGGGATTTGTGCCAAGAGTCTCGGGAGGAGTTGATACATAAGTTGAAGCATGGAACAGAGAATTCGCTCGGCAGAGCTCAGTTGCTCCATTGCTCGAAAGTCGAGACTTTGCAGGCATTTGTGGCGTATCTGGTAAGTCTGACACTGGCAGTGATGGGCTGCCATTATTTTGTTTAGCCGCCGGCAGACTGACTCGAAATATCTCTAGCTATCAATGTGTGCTGACGAAATCCGCCGTGCTCATTCGCTATTGACAAGCATGGCAATTCGCCTAGCAGAGTGCATGGGACTTCACCGTGACCCTTCCGAGTATGGGTTTTCGCCGATAGAATGCCAAGTTCGACGTCTCATATGGTATCAAATTTGTTATTTGGACCTTAAGACAAGTGAGATACAAGGACCCCGGCCATATATCCATCATGATGGATACACAACGCAAATACCGACTCCTACAACAACATCAACGTGGAATGATATGGTTTTCTCCATGATCCGATTTGAATGCCAGGAGATGCAGCGTAAATGTCTTGTTTTACGCAGCCGGGTTGATCAAAAAAAGATCAGTCTCACGAAAGCAATTGCCAAAATCGAAGCTTTCCGGGTTTCCATGGATGCAAAATATGGCCCTTTTATAGACGCAGCAACTCCGAGTCCAATGCAAAGAATGGCCCGACAGGTGATGAAGCTATTCACTAATCTGCTTTATCTGATCTCTTTACACCGTTATATGAACAGTGTGACATACAGGGTTCCTGATCGGCTGCGGCAAATTGTTTTGAGCAAGGGAACCGACGCATTGGAGGCTGCCATGGAGCTTGAAGTGTCGGACGATCTCAAGCAATGGTCTTGGTATTCGAGTGCCTATCAACAATACCATGTGGCATTCTTGTTGCTAGTAGAGGTGTTCACATTTCCTTTACGCAGAGAGGCAAATCGCATTTGGAGATGTTTGGATTTCATCTTTGCCGACGTGCTTAGGGATATACCCGCGCTCGACACAAATATGAAAGCTTCAACACCGCAAGATTTGATCGCGCACCGAGATGTTAAAGCTCGATTTCTACTAACCATGATCTGTGAAAATATGCGCGTTTATCACAAGTCTAGGGGGTTGAAAAATCCAAGTCACTTTCAGGACTCAATGATTATACTTACTCCGCAGAAGGATGGAGACACTTCTGACCCTCGGATGCCTCTCAACTACGCCCATGGAGAGCCGGAAACAGGCGATCTTGCTCAACACCATCCCTACATCTCTCATAACTCACAAATTCCTCAGCAAATGGCCACGCAATCAGAAGACATTCCTGCTTTTTACATAGAAAATACTGCCGATCTTCCACAGAGTTTGGGTAATGCAGCACGTGAATGGTCCTCTTCATACGAAAATCTTCCATCTTTGCCTCAAAATTACGAATCTCAACCCGACCAACTTGATGGGGAAGCTGATATGTTTTCCCAATCCTTACATTCCCACTACCTTGCTCCCAATTGGACGCCGAACGAAAGCTCAACACAATCCGATTATGGCGAGATACAGAGAGGGGTCGCGGGTATAGAGCCACACATGCTTGAAATTGACTGGGTTAGTCCATTGATCACAAATCTGTTCAAAATTACCAAGAGCCCCATACTAATGAATTACTACGAAGGGCCTCTGGGACACCATTTTCCCACCGGGAAGCAATGATGGTAACTTGGACATTTCTGACGACTATATGTGGGAGTCGAATTACAATTGAACTGCGACTGGCTTTTCATCTTGATACTTATTTAATAGAAATTCTTTTTGATACTGTCCATGAACCTTTCATCAAATGACCAGATACAACTCCAATATTGGTTGTTCAAGATGAGGCGTAAATTTCGAGTCGGGTGATTAAGAATAACACCGTACCTTATTTCACTACTTTCCCACAAGTCATAGCCGACTCGGATCTGAAGAAAGTCCAATGCATTTAAATATTGGCCTTCGTATATCGTGTATACTACAGGCTTCTGGTTATCGGTTAGAGAGAAACTGCCTCTAATGTACACTGGCCTATTCGAGTTAATCAGTATGTGCCAAGCCGGATTAATCTAAACAGGTACTGCATTAGTTAGTAGGCACCGGCTTTCATAAACCATTGCTAGCTCTGAATGGCTGTTTCTTTAAACTGTGATTTGACTTCCGATCGGCTTTTATCCCCCTGATCATGCATTTCTTGGAGACCAGCTTGACTTTAACCCCACAACCGAGGCTTCTGACAGTTGCAATATTGCGTTTAAAACCACGACCTGGACCATTGTCTGTTTTTCATCTATTTTTCACTCTCATCTAGCTGTTCTCATATTGACGAACATCCATCGCATTAATTAGTGGATGACGCATAACCCCTGTGCACCTTGAACGATCATGGTCTCTCTATCGCGGGCCTTACAGAGTGCTTCCAATCGAGCTGGATGAGCTTCATGTTTAGTCGCTTGCCATGCCGGCGCCCATTCCATTGACTCTAACTACCGAATCGATGTTCACCCCCACGCCACCCCGGAAATTTGGAAACAGGCAATGGTATCAGCAGGTTTTCCGATCGAGAATTGCACGTTGTACAATGATGGCGCTCCTGTTCCCGATTGCTCATTGGACACACATCTTACCTCCAGGATACCCTCGGCGTGAATTATTCCACTCTTAGCATCACTGCACCCGGGGTTTCATTCGCCAAGGATGCTAAAAAGGCTAAATCCTTAGCTCGGAAATTTAACTTGCTCCTTTACGACTACACGAAAGCCATCCAGCTCGATTGGAAGCACTCTGTCTTCTTCCTCTTCCTCATGTCAGCGAGGCGGTCAAAGCGCTTGAGGTACAATATAATGCAATTCCATCAATCTGGCTTGGGCCATATACTAATTTTTGGTAAAAATTTTGCCTGGATACTCTCAAATTTGCTGGTGTTGGCTTATATACCAATGCTAATGGCCTCTATCTTGGGACCTCTAACCTGGAACCGATTTTTAAAGCCTTGGATAAACGCAGCGCCGGTGTTTTTGTTCATCCAGCTTCTTCGACATGTACCTCTGTCGGTCTCGGTTATCCTATGCCTATGATTGATTCCCCCTTCGATACAGTGCGTGCTATAGGAAATCTACTTCTTACTGGCCAACGTGCGAGATATCCAGATCTCAACATTATTTTCACACATGGCGGCGGAGCGATACGATATCTTGCTACTCGCATTGCTGGTGTTGAAACTTGAAACACTTCCCTATGCAGGTGGGATAGCCTTTCCCGAAACTCTCGCCCAGCTCGCCGGATACTATTTTGATCTCGCAAGCGCGACCTCTGCCATTCAGCTTGCAGCCTTGAAGACTTTGATTGGTGCCAAAAAGCTCGTGACTGGAATTGACTGTAAGTGATGAGCTCGATCAAGACGGTTTATACAAAGCAATATCCTTACTGACTTGATAAGATCCTTATCTTCCTCTTTCACAGGCACAGCCAGGGCTAATCGGTATACAAAACAATGGCAACTTTACAGATGACGAGATGAGGGAAATCAGATACCAGAATGATTTGGATATCTTTTCCCGCATCGCTGAGGCGTTGAATGTGAACTAAACAGATAACCCTATTCCATTTTACTCCGGAGTCGATTCTCATTATCTATTCCATTCACATTGATACTCAGCTGTTAGAACATGCAGTTAGCCTCTCCATTGATCTGATACTTCTGTCTCCGGCCAGAGGGATACGAGCAACTGCAACCAGGTGGCCTCCACCTAAAATCCACGAGGTTTTATTTCAGTTCGAAGACGGGCGAGGGATGTGTAACGACCTCCTGCGAAATCTTTCATTGATCGACATGGGTCAAGCCCGGTGAGAAGCCGAGATCGCTGGTGTCCCCAACCAATTTGCTATCTTTCGACCTTGGAAGGTTTATTTGTATCAAGAGACCAACCCCACAGTACAATTCTATTTTTTTAGTATACATCACAAAGTCTATGTATGTATCTGAGTATAAAGTTCATATTGAAATCTATTCCTCTAGTAGTAATCCTTTCTTGTATGGTTTGAACTTCTCAAACTCCTTCGCGGGAGGTATCTCGTTTTGTCCCCATTTGAGAATACCTGATCTGAGCCAATGGGCGTATGTATGCGGCACATTGTCGGATTCCTCATGTCTTCTCCAGAGGGAACCTAGAGTGTCTCCGAGCACCCGCAGAATCAGCCCATGTGCAAGCTTAAATGCAAAGCTCTTGCTTAAACACGCCTCCACAATTTCTCTGGCATTCCTTTGGTCTTCAGACTCTCTTTCCCCATTTAACGGCAGAGAGAGTGACATCAATTCGAAGGCCCGCGGTCCATCCCAAGCAGTCATTTCATTGATTAATTGCGACCCTGCCATGTAGTCCATTGCGTAGATGCTATTGGCGGAATATTCGGGCCCATTCCACTTCCCTTCAGTGTCAATAAGGCCCATGACCAACGAAATCACCTGTCCTTGAATGATGTAGTCGGTAAGGATCTTGCTGGCTTCTTCAATGTCGATATCTCTGCCATTCTCCTCAAATCCCTTGGGGGATCGTAGAATAGGGACACCTTTCAGCAAAGGGGAGTTCCACATTCCTTCAGTCGAAGTTTTGCCCTCCCACAATTTCAAGAGAAGTTGGTGACACCGTTGGAAAAATGGGTTATTGCGACTTGATCCCAGGAAGTAGTTGGTTAGGGCCACGCCATCAAATTTAAATGAAACAACTTCGTAAGGTGAAGCCGAGTTTCCAACGGTCGCATGCCAAAGGCGATCGAGATCCCCGATCATGATAAGACCCACATCAGCATAGATGCCACCATACTTTACCAGCAATGGGAATCGGACAAGATCAGAGGTATGCTGGGCTGCGTGGTGGCCGACGATTGTTCCCTCTGTAAAGGCTCGAGGAAATGTTTCGGGGTCGCTGGTATCGAGAAAATTGGAAACGTTGAGCTCAGAGTCTGGGCAAAGATTGAGTACACGGATTACCCATCCTTGCTTTGAGAAGCGTCGATGCCATGCTCGAATGTTGCGTTTGGTGTAGGGATGCATGGTTTCGTAGCCGGAATGCCAAAAGAACCATACATTTTTATCGTCACAAATAGGCCGAGGGTGATGGATATCGATATCGACCTCCGAGTCGGGGCGTAGGTCAACCTGATCTGAGGATAGTGTGTGCAGTCCCTGTGGACGTGGATATAAAGAATCCATAGTGAAGATAATCAAGTAAAAGTCGAGACTGCCAGTGGATATTCAAGTTCAGGTGAGCCCAGGGACTAGACATCAATTTATAACATGTACCACAGCAGTACGGAGTATGAAATACAACCAACACGCTTGCACAGCCTGGGGTGTCAGCTTGACTCATCATGAATCCCGATGATTTTGGCGGCACCAAGCCCCAGTGCGGGGCGAGGGCGGGGCCAGAGCGGGTCTCCGAACTGGATACCGTACTACTAGTACTATCTTACTGCTTCAATTGTCTACAGTAGGGTAGTTATTAATAACTGGGATGCACATTATATCTTTATCTCTCAGGTTATGGAGAGTATTCTGAAATCTTATTATCAAGCAGAAAATATCTTGCCGAAATGCGCGTAATCCCAACTTGTGGTTTATCCGTTGACCGGAGTCCATCTCGAAGAAAGGAAGAAAGAAAAACTATATAAATCGCTTTGAAACCAGAATATGAGTGACTATATACATCAGACCAGAGGAGAATTCTCTGCAAAACAATCCATTTTCATCTCCCATCAAACAAGCACACTCGACCCATCATTCTTCTTGCACCCACATGCGTTCGCACCAGCCGCCGCCTGCGACGGTGTTCGTGCGTAACTGGGAGGCACATCAAGAACCGGGTTTCGATCGAAGAAATGGCGCGGACGCAGGAGCAATGTCATAGGCTCGGCCGGCATGATGGGGTAGTCCTCTGGTGCAGGGAAATGGGTCAGACCGAAAGTGTGCCACAATACGACATCTGTGTTATCGATGGAACTGTTGGGTCCGGCGGCTTCGATCCATGCCGGGATACCTTGAGATGGCTCGCCAGATGTTTGAGGAACATGGCGACCAGCTGGGTGGATTTCATCGTCGGAGTCTGTGAAGAGTTTGTTAGCAAATCAAGGAAGACTTTTGTGTAGAGTTTGAGAAGATACTCACATTTGGTGACGTGAACAGCGTGACGAGCAAACCCGGCTCGCTTCCAGACAAGACTGCCTTCCTTAGGTAGTAGTGGTGGTACCTCACGACTAACAAGTTTATAGCAGACGGGTTTCTTGCTGTAGGGGTTAAGCTTGTTGGTATTGGCCATCTCCCAGGTTCGGCTAGTAGAGCCATCATAATCGGACATCGCTTCAATCGGCGTGTTGAACTTGGTTTTCTTAGCGTAGAAGGCGTTACCGTATGGGTTCTCCGCGCTTCCGACCTCGCCAGATCCGCGGACGGCGTCCACTTGGAAGACTGTATTGTCTGGACCATCGATATTGGGATCAACACGGAGGCAGAAGAGATGCTGGTGATTGTGTGCGTTGACGCCGGGGTAGACTTCGGTGCCCCAGCCCTTGGTGTCCTCGCCAGGGTTCATCGCATATGTGTTTAAAATGCCGGTCAGTTTGATCTCCAGCTGGACAGTACCATCCTGGTGGAAAATCCAGTACACGCAGTATTCGTAGTTGGCCGCGGTGAAGATGTGCGAGATAATCAGTTTCCGGCCGCGGGTAACAACTGTTGACTCGTCACGGAAGTCGGTATGCTTAAAAAGAATTCCAGCGTCCTCTTCGTGAATGCAAATCGCGTTCTTGATGATTGTTGAAGCACCGGCGCGGTTCACAAATGCGGCATCCATGTAATGGATCGCACCCTTGCAGTCGCAGCCCAGGGCGAGACTGTTGGTCATATAACCACCGCCATACTCACCGAGATCAAAGGCGTGCTTTCGCTGGTGAGGATGTTCGGGGTTACCGTATGGAACAACCATCTCTGCAAGCGAGAGTCGCCAAAAGACCGGTCGGACATTTCCCTTGTCGTTGAATGTAATATTGTTCAGCACAATACCCTCACGGTAATTGAATCCAACGTGGATATTCCAATTTTGCCAGTCAATGCTTCGGCCATTAACCTGGAATGAAACTCCCTCTGGTTGGGTAATGTGGATAGGCTTGATGTCGGTGCGGAAGCCGCCCTGCTTCTCAATAGCTTCGGGGTGGTAGTTGTTTGGAGCTGCCTTATTCACAGGCCTCCGTACTGGAGGAATATCGATATGAATAATCTTCTTCTCCTCTGAATTGTAGATAGGACAGAAATCCAATGGGAAAGTGTACTGAGAGTCGTCGACATGGGGGCGGTAGTACATGAGAGCCTGCTGTAGTCGAACTCCCGTGCCAAAGCGTTCATCATATCCAATTGTCCAAGCTAGAAATGAAAGTCAGTGATCAATGCCTTGAATTCTCAGAATTGTTCAAACGGATCGACTCACGATCACAATACACCTTGTGCATATCCTCAGGAGGAATTCCGACGATACCGCATTGCTCAATGACCTTGGGGTCCTTTCGCACAACATGCTCGACCTCCTGAAGATCTTCCATTGTAATCAACGGTTGGACATTTGGTGTATGGTTCCAGTTTAGGATCTTGTTCTGGTCCAAATCCACCACACCATCATACACCTTGCCACCAGGCGCAATAGCCACCACATCGGCCGCACGAGCCGGTCGCTTTGCCGTCTCTGGGTTAGCGACCCAGGACATCATCTCGGCCTTTCGCGGTTCGTACAGTGTGACCGCATTGAAGTTGAGTTGCCCATGCTCTCTGCGGATCAGACGGACAGCAGCATCGATCTCCGATGTGGACAAGGGATCCAACGGATGAGGAGGGGGTGCAGTCGCATTGACCTGGTGGGTCAACTGCTGGAGTCGATCGAGAACCATGCCGAATTGTTTCTGGTCGTTTGTTATATTGAGTGAGGTGGTTTGAGTGTATAGTCCGGATCTAGAAATGGAAGTATTCCAGTGAAAGATGCAACAATCTTGCGAACCCGGTAGTGAATAACTTCTGGGCAGGGGTAGACAGATCACAGGGAAGTTTAGTATTTAAATGCATCTGCAACAGCCCCTCATAGACCGCTACAATCTGCAGCAGCATGATTAGATACACGCATCCATTGACCGAGTCCGAGACGTGTGGGACAGTGCAAATGTGGAGGCCGGATCCTTTTCCCCGATTGGGAATGGTGGGGTATCGCACGGTTCAAAAGGGAAGCTCGATGCTTGTCACTGATAGTTGAAGATCCGGGGGACATCAGAATAGTTTTTCCTATTATTCATCGTTTCTGCTCGCTACTCAAAGGGACTCGGATTACTAGTAATTTCGCAATGTTCGCATTCTGCTGCTCGATGCGGGCAGGGAAAGCCCTTGCTCCCACCTACAGTCATTCACATCCTGTGCTCATGATCATATAGAAAGTAGTAGTATTTACCCCTATTAGTTGAAGTTTTGATGGGAGAAGTTTACAAGGCGCTACCGACGAGAAAATATAGACGAATGAGCAGACCCATTGTAAGCAAACTCCAGGTCTACCTATAAATTTGACAGTATAGAACGAGACCACAGCTAGAACAGGCAAAGGCCATAGCCTGAACGCCTTGCAGATGGAATTCAGATAGCACAGCCAAATCAAAAACACCATACACCCCCTTTGCCAACCCAACACCCTCCAGGCGCAAGAGAGATCCCGAAAATAAGTGGGATCCATGCAAACGACAGGCGAGAGAAGACAATGCCGAAGATCGAGAAAAAACCAGCACGATGTCCTCGTGCCTATGTACATCATCATATCGTATCAGACTTCCGCCTCCAGCCCGTCTTTTCTAAGACAGCCTATGTTTCCGTCCGTCCTCTATTTCATGATTTACCGGTAGCGAACCCGGTCGGTGTCGGGAAGCCATGTTGCGGCGTGTGGGCACCGGTCCCGATATGCCCTGTGTTGGGGGTGCTCGGGGTACCTGCGGCTGAATAAATAGATGCTCCATTCAAGTTTGGTGTTTGCTGAGCCATATGGTAGCTCATTGCGGGCATTTGTCCATTCAATCCCCAGATCTGCCCGGAGTACTTGCTGTCGTCAATCGCGCCGTTAAAAACCAACTGGCGCATCTTCCAGTAGATTTCACCGGTGACGAGGGAATCGGAGCCTGCTTGGTGGGCGATCCCAACGCGCTTGACACCCAGCTCATCCGCGATATCCTGCAAACCAGACTTTTGGCCAAGGTTCGTGAGAATTTGTGCAGCGGCTTGAGTGAGGGGAGAGTCATTAACGGCCTGGTTGCGGCCAGCGTGTTTCATGAGGTACTTGATATCATAGAGGGAGGGGAAAAAGATGGTGAGAAGCTTGTGGAACTCCTCCTCGTTCTCAGGTAGGGCTGTGCAAAGCATAATTTTCATCAAGTATCCGAAATCGTAGCCGGAGTGGAAGGAGACCCAGTGAACGTCATCCAGCAGAACCAGACCAGAACTGATCAGCAAGGAGCCAAACTCAAAGGGGTCAATTCCATTCTTATCGTGCATGTTGAAATCGATTCCAGATTTAGCGAGCATGGTGGTCGAATCTTGGGCGTACATATCGTTTTCCAATGAGAAGCGGAAGTTGAACTGCCATGTGCAAGGTGCGGGCATGCCGTAAGGTTGACCATTTGCGTCGGTTCCAGAGAGCGGAGGCACTTCCCCATCCTCATTGAACAGTGTAATACCCAACTGGATCATCTTTAACAAGTCGACGTTGCATCGGAGGGTCTGGTAGTGGTAGTCTGCCTTATTCGTGAACTGGCCGATCGGTCGTGCGACGATTCCTGGGAATTCGGTATCCTTGGTGGTTGTTAGCACCATAAATTTCTGTGGCTCCAGACTGGCGAGGAGATAATGCTGAAACAACAGTTTCGCCCGCCATCGCGCAAATCACCCATTCTTACCATGCTAATGTAAGGGTATTTATCCACCAACGACCTCAACACAGCCATCTCGTGGGCCAGGTTGTGTTTCCACACATCTCGTATCCGCGATTTGACCGCACCGGTCTTCGAGTCAAGGGCTAACCGTCCATCGTGACCCTGGTGTAATTGCTGTTGCTGCATCTGAGCTCCACGCGCGAAGCCCATCTGAGCTGCATGGCTAGCAAGACCGGTGCCACCGCCATCACCTCCAACGCCAGCAAAGCCAGCAGCTGACATACCGTTGGCCATGCCGGCACCAGAGAGAGTGAAGGGGTTCATATTGGTGTTGGGATTCCCAGCGAAACCGGGGTGGCCACCGAGTGAAGGGGGCGGGAGGGCGTTTGCTGATTGTGGGTGATGTTGGGACTGAAGTTGAGCTTGTTGGAGGGAATATGGGGCGGCTAGACCAGAAGGCCCGTATCTGCCGACGGGGGGTGGCATTGTTGAAAGATGAGGCGCATAGAGGGAGTGTTCAGGTCAGTTTCGGCGGTCCTCGACCGTTCGGACGTGGGAGCTACGGCCCCGCCGTATCGGGACTAGCGTGCCAAGCCTGGCACTTCGTGAGATGCACCTCACTCAATTCCCTCCCTCCGATGGTAGACTCCCTCTCGTTTCAGTCCCCCCTCAACTCGCCCACAATGCCTGCGCGGAACGTTACCGGCTTCGACATCTCCCAGCTCAAGGCTGCGGCTCACCCCAACTCCATTTGGGCCAAGCGTGACCCGTGGGCTCGCAAGTACGACCTCCCCCGTGACGACTACACCCGCTTCTGCATCCCGATACTAACCATTGAACAGTGAGACCTGGCGCTATACCGGTCCCTTCAGCCGCTGGAACCGCTTCAAGGGTCTTTTCCCCGGTCTCGGTATCGCCACCGTCGCCTTCACTGCCTACTGCGCATACGAGCACTTCTTCCTGAAGGATGACCACCACCACGGTGACGACCACCACGGCGAGGCCCACCACTAAATGATATCACCTCAAGCGAATGCATGGAAGAGTCGTCAGCGGACCGACGATTGTTTGGAGGACAAATACCCCAGAAGATGAGATGCGCCCGTCTCATTCCGGCAAATGACAAAAACTCGAAAACGTTTCGATGGTGGCAGCCACCCACTTCATCATTGGGAAGAGAGGGCAACCCTGGGTCCTCGTGATTATACTTCATTCTCTTCTCTAGAGACATGGCTTGCGGAAAGTGGCCCGCGAGAAGCGCGTTGGGTGGATTTGTCGGATGTACATAGACTATGTTCAATTACCAAGATGTTTCTTTTTAACGTTTCAACCAATCGCTGTGCTGCAATTGCTCAGCAATGGCGAGTCACTTTTACTTAATTTTGGAGTAGCACTTCTACTTAGTCATAACAGGATTGCTATTACAATCGTGGATTTCGGGAAATGCCTTGTCTATAGGTATAACATGATATCATAAATCGCATCCGATCTCCCCCGCAATAACGAGCGAGACGGTTTGTTTTTCTTGTTTCTCTCTCTCCATGTAAGGACCTTCATCTACTCGTCCTCAAACACGAGAGTAACACCATCATCGCCCGCAGTGACAACACGTTTGCCGTCAAAGCCCTGGACAAAGCCCATGATGCCACCTGCCTGCTCACCATCCTCATTCTCGGAGAGACCCAAGTGTCCCTTCCACTCCTTTAACAAACCCTGGCCGGCAGCAGTGGTTCCACCCCGGGCGTCCCACCGGCGGACAACTCCATCCAGTCCAACAGTGGTGAGCAGCCAGGGCCGACCCTGGGCAGCACCACCAGGGCGGGGGGCAGCAGGAATCCGGCTGTGCAGGAACTCAACCTTGACGACCGCGCTGCCCTCATGAGCCTCCCTGACGTGACGACGAACGGCAAATCGGTGAGCAGCGTCATACAGAGCAACGGAGCCATCGACCGAACCCGCAGCCAGAAGAGTCAGCGGGGGCTGGGAGAAAGACAGAGTCTCGATGCCATCGGATTGGGCGTGGAGATCGGCAATAATAGTACCCGCAGCAGAGGCAGTCGTCGATTGAGACGCCTTACCCTTTGCAGCCTGCTGGGCACCCGCAATGCGAGGCAGACCGACAACCTTGATATGACCCTCGGCACCACCAACAGCAGCTATGCCACCACCCGGTGAGATGGCAATGGAATAGAAACCGCCCTCAACAGCGAATCGCTGATCCTCCGCAGTCAATCCGACAACGGCGTTGGTACCGGGCGAGCCGGCGATACCAGCGGCGGCAGCAGCACCGAACACATCGCAGACATAGAAGCTTCCATCCTCCGAGACAGTCGCCAGCATATTTCCATCCGGTGTCCAGGCACCAGCTGTGCAGGAGGCAGTGTGCTGGAAGAAAGTCTGGATGATAGAGATGGGCTGGGAATCGGTATGATCGATGCGGAAGACCCAAGCGCTACCATCATTGGCGCCCATGGCGATGACATTACGCGTCTCGTCCCTGCCTTGCTGGTAAGGACAAACAGACACCCAGTTGATCTCTTCCACTTCCTGGGCCTCGGCCACGAATTCCCACGCAATGCCCGTCTTCTGGGGCGTGGAGTCCCGCCATGCGCGGAGCTTGCCGTCCAAACCTGCCGTCACGACGTACTCGCCCGCAGGCTCTGAGAAAGTCACCGCATTGACAGTATCGGTGTGTCCATCCATCTTTGCGGGGGGGGTTCAACGACGAACGCTCGCGCGGCTGGGGGTTTGATTCATAGCTTGAGGGCAGAACGGGCCGCTCGGCGGGTGTTGAGTCGAAGATGTAAGCTGTGTCATCGCCAGCGCCGGTGATAACGATGTTGTTATGAATTGGGTGTTGCGCGATGCAGAAGACGGAGTCTGAGTGCGAGTCGAAGTGTGCGGAGGAGTCGTTCTGGAAGACGTGTTCCTGGTAGTCCATGTTTTGATCCTCTTCTTCGCCATCTGACTCCATGGGGTGGTCTTCATCCTGAGTGAAGACTTCCTCGCCCTTGCCGGCACCCAGGAATTCGTCTCCTCCTCGTTATGGTGGTTGGGGTCTTGCGATGACATCTTTGGAAGAGTGCTGACTCTAGGTCGATAGTCTTCTGTAGACTGAGGATGTCGAGATAGAAAGACCGGGGTATGGCGAGATATTGAGAATCAACCCTCGTAAGAGCTGAACTTGTATAAAAAGATTAAAATATCAAAGCAACCTCCTCTTATGGATTGTAAGTGGAAAATCAGCGACCTCGAGATGGATCTTTTTTTTTCTGTCAGTCTCCCCCGCTTAGAAATCCGCATCCCCCGCGGCAGGCAAACACTGCAAACTCGATTTATCAGCCACTTATCTCCGTACATACTTACCCTAAGAAGGTAGTAACTTAGAGGAGACTAGGAGGGCAGTACTGCACTACTTACATGGTGAAAGAAACAAACTAGTGCCACGAGATCGAAAATAAAAGTCTACGTCTAGGCGGGTCCAAAATTTGTCTCGGGAATGACGTCGATTCATGCAGGCAAAAGCATGAATGGTCCGCATGGATAACGAGTACCACAGCGAATTGTCTCGCGCGCGTTTGATATACACCTGGGCAGTTAGTACAAACATGACAGGCAATTATTATGAAGCTGATGTATTTGAAAAATATATATGTTGATACTAGTATTCTATCGGTTTAAATCCTACATAGTGATCATCTTTATCATGATACCCAACCAACAATGTCCCTGTCTTAACTCGACGTGACGCTCACAGCTTTGAACGCTCACAGCTTCGAACCAGCCTTTCTCCGGGCCTCCTTCTCCTGGTCACGAATCAATCGTCTTAGGATCTTACCACTGGGGCTCTTGGGAATGACATCAACAAATCGAACGCCTCCCTTCAGCCACTTATGGCGAGCCTTGTGGTCTTCAACGTGCTTCTTGATAGATTGGGCAACGACCGCATCATCAGAGCTCGCAGAAGGCGACTTGACAACAATAGCCTTGGGGACCTCACCGGCGGCATCGTCGGGAATGGCGACGACAGTACAGTCGGCCACATCGGGGTGGGAGAGGAGGTGAGCCTCGAGCTCTGCGGGCGCAACTTGGAGTCCCTGTCATATACGGTTAGTTATTTTCTACCCCACATCGACTGCACCTGCTCATCAGTTGTAACTCACCTTGACCTTGATCAATTCCTTGATGCGGTCCACAATGAAGATGTGTTCATTCCCTTTGGGTCCGCGACGAACAACGGCCTCGTCACCCGTTCGCATCCATCCATCCTCGAAAGTTTCCTTGTTTGCTTTATCGTTGTTGAGATATCCTAGCACCACACTCGGGGATCGGACGACCAATTCGCCAGGAGTGTCGTAGCTAGTGATCTCTTTGCCCTCTGCGGACATGATGCGTGCCTCGAATCCAGGGATCAGACATCCTGATGAGCCGAAGATAATATCCGAGGGGTGGGTCGAACTGACGACAGTGGATGTCTCCGTCAAACCTATCTCAAAATTAGTTTTGTTTATTCAAGATTCGAACACTGGTATTCTGACCATATCCTTGTCGGATGGCGACCTTGGGGTAGGCCTTCTGGAAGTCGGTGGCTGTCTCCATTCCGAGCGGCGCCGCGCCAGTGAAGAGACTCTTGACAGAGCTCAGATCATACTTTGAGCACTCATCGTGAAGTCGCAACATATTAATGATGATAGGGGGGACCTAGACATAATTAGTCACTCGTCAATTAGCTCTTTCGGCTGCTTGAGAGAACTCACCAGGAATAGTCCTGTGATTTTGAAAGTTTGGATGGCGTTGAGATAGGAGCTCATTTCAAACTTGGGAAGAATGATGGTCTGATCGCCACGGTACGCGCCTGCATGGCAGATAACTACCAGGGAATAAATGTGGTTTTGCGGCAGCAGACCCAATCCAATCTCCGAGTATACAGCACGTCCATCCGTGGGCGGAGTTGCGTCACGGTGGTCTTGTTCGAAAGCCTTGATCTGCAAAGTGTTGGCAATGACATTGCGGTGGGAAATCATGACACCTTTCTATACATGGCAATTCATTAGCAAGATACCCCCAAAGCAGCGTCTCTCAACGGTTCATCTTACCGGCAAGCCCGAAGTTCCACTCGAGTAGCATAGGAATGCAGTGCGGCGCGCACCCTCTCCAGGTCCCCAGTTCGGCGCATCTACCGGAGGTGCCGACTTTCCGCTCTCGAGAATATCCGAAATAGTTTTGTATTCGTTTGGGGGCTGAGACTTTCCAAGCATGACTTGCGGCACATCAATGAGGTAGATTTTGCTCTTAGGCAAATTGGCCATAGAGGCCGCCTTGAGAGCCACTGGGAGGAGAGGGGCACAGGTGAAAAGCGCCTTTGCGCCAGAATCCAAGATCTGGTGCTTCAATTCGGCGGCCGAGTAAGCGGCATTGGCTGGGGAGACCACTCCTCCGAGCCGGTGAACAGCCCAGAAAAAGGGCAGAGAATCGATCTACCGAGTATACACAGACATGGTCAATTCTCGTTTCACAATTCGCCAAACGCCGCCAGAGGCAAACATACCGTGTTGACGCAGAAAACGGCCAATGTCTTGTCCCATTCCGAGCCCTGATTCGCCTTCCAGCCAAACTCCTTTGCCAGACCCCGCGCAATCCAATCGACGCGGTCGACGACTTGACGCGAGGAGTAAGTCTGTCCAGTCAGACCGCAGGTGTACGGATCGCGGGCGTGTTGGTGTGCGACTCGGCCATATTTCTCATTGAGCATGAATTCGCTGATGGGAATGTTGTCGGGGATTGGCGGCAACTCGCCAAACTTCTTGTCGGGTAAGAATACCATTGTGGATTGGGATTGAGGGTCGCCGGTTCCTGGGTGTAATTGCCGAGGAGAGAATGGAAAAGGGGGAGGAGGGGGGAGAGAGAGAGAGAATGTGGAAAAGAGGGAGAGGGAGAGGGTAGGTTAAAAGAAGACCGAGGCTGGGAGAGATGTGAACCGCGCAACGGTTGAATTGTGGAAATGTGGAGCTACTGGAGTCGAAGCACGGTCTAGTTTTAAAATTTGAATTTCGGGCGGAGGGACAGGAAGAAGATCAGCCTCGGTGAAGGGGAAAGGGAGCAGGTCAAGGCAAATCACGAAGTCACCAAGGGGAACGGGGACTTTTTCAAGCAACTTGCACCTTGGAAGGGTTCAAGTAAGTGTAAGCAAGCAAGTCCGGGGGAAAGACCGGCGGGTGCGGGGAAGCTCGGCCTCGGCATCTTTTACTCCAGGGCTTTCACAAAGAATGTAGTTGCCATACACTTGAGTTTGGATCAACCAGATTACAGTAACTAGATTAACCGAGGACGGTATACCGAGCTAGTGCTATATCTGAGTGGTCCCTGATTTCCAGTTTTCAATTTTGAGTCAAGGCTATTCTCAAGTAGGATAACCGAGTCTTGTCGGCGAATCTCTCGGGCTTGAATTACCGATGACGCCTCGGATATTCTGCCACCGGGGTGTAGCACCATGGTTAGCACCATAGTGTAACTTAAATATTATAAATATCCATAAACCATAAAAATGATCTCTAGCAATGGGTTCAAGTTCAAGTTCTAAAGATCCAAGAATAGTAATACAGTGGTATTGCAAAACTTGAAGTTTGAAACTCCCTAGGTATTGCCCACCATTATCGACCCGCTTCTAATGGCAGACTACTAGTAGCTACCTGAGAGGGAATATATTGGCCAATCTATTTTATCTTTGGTACCTGGGTAGCTACTTTTCCCCCTTGGGAACTCAGATCAGGGCGGTGGTCCGAGTCAACAAGACCTCAGGTTTCAAACTTTTGCAACGCCACTGTAAGTATACTCGCACCTGGGCAGTTATATATCTCCCCTACAGAGCTGTCGACGTCATCGACAAAGATACTACTACTACTACTACTACTAGCACAATGCTGGTTCTTCAATGTCTGTATTACCCTCGACTGCATCCGAGTCCTCAATAATCCCCGATTGGCCGGATTTCACCATCATGGGGGATCAGCACAGCTTGCCCGCTTCGGGCACGGTGGTGAGAAATTCAAGTTGCTTGTGTCTTGCTCCGAGTCGTCTAGCTATGGTCGTCACTAGAGCTACTACCACTACTACCTCTAGTACTAGTAATACTAGTAGTACCCATGGATACCCTGCACAGCCATCATGATGCTATACTAGTAGAGTCCCGACCAAGGAGTAATATAAATGATAGCATGCCCATCTGGGGCATTGCCCTTCTTAGACCTTTCTCAGCTCAGGGGTTCCAGGGCTTGTGGACTCAGCCTTGTTAACGGCGAAATGACGGTGGGGCGAAAACAGTTCATCGGCCCCCAAATCCACACGTCGTGACCATTGGCAGCTGGGATGAACTGGGGGAGGCTCAAGGCTGTGCATCGCCATCACACAACACATCACTTCTTTCCCCTCCTCCAGGGCACCCAGAGCAGTTTAACTCCATATCGCGAGGAAGAACTTCCTCCACGTGAGATCCCAAAGTTGATTTCTCCGGAATTCTCAGATTCTTCCCAGGGGTTGACAGTGACAGTAATAGTGACAGGTGTTGGCGGTGGAGAGTTTACATTAGTATTAGTGTAGGAGAGACCCTTCTGTTTGGGTCCGAAAGTTCCCAAGTCCCAAGCCCACGGTAAACCCTTCGACCTTCGACCTCCGACTTCCCTCCTCAACCTCCCCCTTTCCCCCTCCCCCTCGCAAACGGGGATGCTTTGAAGAGGAAGACATTTCACTCGTTTCTTCCCCTGTCCGCTCTCTCCCTGACCCTCCTGCGACTGGAGTTATCGGCGAATTGTTCCCGCCCGCGCCGCTCGTGCGGTTGCTCGAAGCGACCGGGCTGACCCAACGCCCCTAGTGACCTCAAATCCATCGGTGGATTTCTGGTCGCATCCGCACCATGTCGCACCCAAATGGTCAACAGGCCTACTATGGCCAGTCGGGCAATCCACCGACTTCTCAACCTACCTCTCAACCCGCCGCCGGTCGTTACGAGAGCTACACCTCGCAACCCAACCCCGCACAGACTCAGCAGCTGCCCAGACGAATGCCAAGCTATAACGCAGGAGATGACTCGCAGCTCCTGAATACAGCGCGACTGCAGCCGACACGGACCGATGGGAATGCGCGATACGCGGTGCAAGGTGGATATGCCGGTCAAGGGGGGCTACAACGTCACGCCCGCGGCATACGGCGAAGACACAGACTCGGGCTTCTCGCGCTCCTCCTCAGATAGGTCGCGCATGTCGCCGACCCGCGCTTCATCGCATACGAGCATGTCTAGCTATGGGTACCGCTACCCCGGATCGTCCGGGCAAGCGGCCTACAACCCGCAACAATATGCCCTTCCACAGTCCCAGACACAGCCCAACCTGAGCTACAATCCATTGTCATATACCAATTCCAACAGTTCCTATGGTTCGTCCTCTGTGTCGAGTCACCAGCCCTATAACCCGGCAGCCTACCAGCCCACGGCGGTTGCAGGCCTGGCATCGCCTACTCTCGCGCGGCGACCCAGCGAGGCTTCGCCATATGGATATACCCCTCCTACCCCCCCAGTCGCACGGATTCTCCCAACAGCCTCCAATGCCCCCCCCCTCGTGGTCCTGATCACCCTTATGGCTCACGACCCTCGCTGTACGGATCCTCTCCTGCCTCCACGGGCCCGCCGACTGCGCCTCCCATCTCGACATCCTACCAAACAATCTCTTCGCCCACTTCGGGTACCTATGCAACCTCGAACTCCCCCTCAGGAGCCTATATGCCTCAGTCGACACCACGAACTTATTACCCCACACCCCAAGGCTTCGGATCTGACTCGCCCTACCCCTCCCACACGATTCCTCCGGTGTCCAGCGTATACGAGGACCAGCCCCCAGAGCCTCCTGTTCACCAACCCCAAGGAAATGGTATCTATAGCAAACGTTCCAGCTTGTCTCATTCGTCATCGGGTCGAACTTTGCCTACCCCGCCAATACAGCAAGATCTCCCTGTCCTGGGGCCAAGACGAACTGACACCCTGACTCGACATCCGCAATCACGCCCCCTACCCGGACCACCACCCGACGCAGAAAATGATATCGCCGATCACGCCAATGATGATCTGTTCAAGGAGATTGAGAGCACGCAGGCCAGCTTCCGTCGACACAGTTCTCGAGCATCGCATGCTGGCTCGGCATCGAACTTGCGTCTGTCGCCAGATGAGCAGCATACACACACAAATGGGAACATGGCAACGGGGACTGGCCAGTATGTGATTTACGATGCTTTTAATGACGGGAGTGATGCGGAAGCCGAGGCGGGAGTCGCAATGCTGCGCATGGCAGAAGAAGAAGAAAAGGCCCGCGAAGAACGCAGCTTTTTACAAGGACGTCCTCGCGCGGAAACCAACGCCTCAATTCGCAGCACTCGCTCCCAAATATCTCCAAGAGATCTCTCCCGAGGGGCCCATCACCTGCGGGCCCGTCACCAAACCACCTATCTCCGAGGGGCAACTCACCGCGTTCTGATACCACTGAAGATAATGAATTCATGGGCCATGATCTGGCCCTTTACGAAGGAGGCTACCAGGGCAATTTGCACTATGGTGAGGGTCCGACCTACATACCCGAGGACACCTCCGAGCCTACTTCTCTTGGTCGATTCCCAGGGACCTCTGGCTCTTTCAGAAGCTCTCACATGTCGTCCGACGAACGTGGAGACTATGTCGGCAACTATGACCATCCACAGATCGCGTACGAATATGCGCAGCGACTTCACCATCTTCCGAAAGATGCTCGAGTGGATGCTGGAGGCACTGGCGGCCTTTCAGCTCCTGGTAATTTTGGGAGGCGGATGAGCTATGATTACGGGGAGGAAGGTGACAGTCCATATGAGCAACAACCAGAGGAGGATCACTCTGGCGATGAAAGCCCCTACAGGGGAGCTGAAGATCTTTTCTTCCACCCTGGTATGCGTCCGCTACCGCCGGCTCCTGTTGAGCCAGCGAATCAAACCGAGCTCCACTCGCATCTGATGCCTGCGGGCACGTATCGACCACCGGAGCAGGATGAGATGCAGGGTTACACAGTGTATAGACACCCCTCCTCTCCGACATCAGCGGACTACTATGAAGATGCTTTGCTCAGTCCATCTCAAGTCCCGCGGTCGTCGTCCTTGTCGACTCCCATTGGACCTCGTACTGATCCACCTATCAGATCGAAGACCGATGCGGATCGAGCCAAGTACAAGCAACAGCAGGAGTTCTTGTGGCAGCTCCAAGAGAAGGAACTGCCTAAGATCGATCCGGCCGAAGCCGCTGCCACCATGGCATTGGATCTCCCTACGATCCCCGCCGGTCGCCGCAAGAAGTTCATTCCAACAAAGCTGTCCTCTGAACAGTTCAAGAAGTGTGCCGAGCCGTGGGCTTTGAGTTCTATTCTGTCTTGGATTCGAGATCTCAGCGAGGATGAGACTGATCTTCGGGAACACGCCATCGTGGAAGCGATTGTGGCTTTGCTTACCCACAAGGTTCCGACCATGAATATCGCTGATGCCGAGACCTTGGCTGCTCGGGTTGTTAGCAGCATGCTCCAGGAGGAGGCCTTGGTCAAAGAGGAAGAATGGGTCAAATTCAGCTCTGGTACCATCTCGGGTGTACTCTTCCAGGTTACTGGTACTGGGTGTTACTCATCGAAGCTCCACGAACACGAAATTCACATTGAGGATACTGACTCTTATGGTCGATGCTATTCTCATCACTGCATGAGAACATTGAAGAAGGTCAACCTGAAGGCTCAAATGATGGCACCGCAGAAAAAAGCGGAGGATTGGGTCACATTCTACAAAATTTCCAAGGAAGTTTTCGACTTTACCCAAAGAAGGAAATTGAACGTCAAAACATCTTGCACGAGATTGTGATTACAGAGGATTCATTCATTGCCCAGCTAGATGTCCTGCGAGAGCTCTATCGAGACCAGCTGGCCAACATGAACCCTTCAATCATCCCGACCAAGCGATTGAATAAATTCTTGAGCGATGTTTTCGGCAAAGTCGATGCAGTGAAGAAGGCCAACGAAGACTTCTTACTCGCTCAGCTTAAATACCGCCAAAAGGAACAGGGCCCCTTTATCGGAGGCTTTAGTGACATCTTCAGAGAATGGATTCGCAAAGCCAAGAATACCTATATTGACTATGCGGCGACATTCCCAAACGCAAATTACTATGTTCGCAAAGAAGCCGAGCGAAATGTTCACTTCAGACAGTTTTTGAATCAAGTTCGCGAGCACAAGTTGTCAAATCGACTCAGCTGGGATACTTTCCTCAAGGCCCCGATCACTCGTATCCAGCGTTACACACTTTTGCTCAATACGGTTCATCGGAACATGCCCAAAGACTCGGAGGAGAAGACAAACCTGGCGCAAGCAATTGAGGAGATCAAGGTGGTGGCGCTGGAGTGTGACAACAAGGTCGGTGAGATGAACAAAAAGACGGACCTGATGGAACTTGCATCCAAGTTGCAGCTTCGTCCCGAAATGAAGAAGGAAGTCGAACTTAACCTCGAGCACCTGGGCCGCGAGATCATCTTCCGAGGTGATCTTCAGAGGCCAGGAACCCGCACAAGATTCCTTGTCGATACGCACGCCATCCTGTTCGACCACTACTTTGTCCTCGCCAAGACCTTCACCACACGAGACCAATCGCGGTCATCGAAGTACGAGCGTTACGATGTGTCGAAGCTGCCTATCCCCATGGATCTGCTAGCTTTGGAAAGCACCAACGATGACCCCGTCGTCAAATCCTCTGTGAGAGGTGTCGCAACCGTGACGCCCCAGGGTGGCGTGAGCCCAGGACCTGGCACCTCCACAAATGGAGGCACTACAACCCTTGAGAATAAGGATGATAAGATTTTGTTCCCATTCAAGATTAAGCATCTCGGTAAGACTGGCACCTACACTCTTTATGCTTTCTCTGCCCAAGGCCGAATGGATTGGTGTCAGAAAATCATTGAGGCGAAGACGAAACATGCCGCTGCCCTTTTCTCTCAAAATGCGGAGCCATTTCGACTTCGCGTGCTGGCGGACACGGCGTTCGGTTACTCAGAACACGCGTCTGGAACGAAGAGTATTACCATCAAGGGCACGCCATTGCATCGGGCAATCAAGGAGGTCGAGAAGAAGTACGAAGGGTCTGGGACCAGACCTGCTGCAGTTTGCAGGGCAAGCGTCAACTGTGCCACGGTCTTCCAGCAACCCCCAGGGCGACAAATGTGTGCCGTGGGAACAGATTACGGAGTGTACATGTCTGATCTCAGCAATCCGCGAGGCTGGTATCGGGTAAGTAATCCTGCGGCTCCACGGCGTTTTTTGTTTCGTGTTCGGCGATTAACAAATTTTAGGCGATTCCAATCTTGCGGGTCACTCAGATTGCCGTCTTTGAGGAATTTAATCTATTCTTGCTCATCGCCGATCGGTCTCTTATTGCATACCATCTTGACGTGGTCTGTCCTGCTAGTGGGGTTACTTCTCAATCACAGGACTCGGCTCGTCGAGCCCCGCAAAAGCTGTCTGGGACCCGTGAAGTTGGTTTCTTTGCAGCAGGTCGGATGAAGGATAGATACTTGGTCTTGTACAAGAAGCGGGACGGACTGTCTTCTACTTTCAAGGTATGTTTGACTCCAGCTGTTGTTTCATGTTGAGATGGACATAATACTGACCCAGCCTGTCTCCTTTAGGTTCTCGAGCCCATCCTCCAGAAGTCAGCTTCAAGTAAGAGCCGCTTCTTCCAATCCCGTCGTTCACAGACCGAATTCTTCCGCGAATATGACGAGTTTTACATCCCTGCCGAAAGTTATGGCATCAATATGTTCCACTCTTCCCTCGCCATCTCTACCCAGCGCGGTATCGAAGTTCTCACCCTGGACAAGAAGCAGTCCTGGTCCGTGCCGGATTTTAGGTCTGAGACTTCCGATGCCTCCGACACCCTCATGAGCATCGCCCACCGCATCAAAGATCTCCGACCACTGGGAATGTTCCGACTGAGCGACAGCGAATTCCTTGTTGCCTACCAGGAATGTGCCGTCTATGTCAATAAGCACGGTGATGTTTCACGCAGTGTGGTGATGGAGTTTGTGGGTAGCGCACACACGGCCTGTCTACATGGGAAATTCCTCATGCTGTTCAACGATGACTTCGTCGAGGTCCGCAACGCCATGAATGGTCGACTTAGACAGGTCATTCCGGGTCACAATGTTGTTTGCCTGGACGATGGCAGCAAGTTACCCGGATCATTTGGCCAGGCTAACACGAACACGAACATGAGCGGCTTCACTGGATCTAGCAATGGCGTTTCGATTGGTTCAACCCAGCATACAGTCAAGATTTGCATGCAACATCCTGAGCATACATCCAGTCAGATTGTGTTGGAGCTGGTTGAGAACCAAGGCCAGAAGGATTAGTCCTATTCCGCTGGAACCAGCTAATCACTCAGCTGCTCTCTGTTTATTCCCATGTGACTCGTTCCATGCGTTTCGCTCGAATGGAGCCAGCCTGACCCCTTGTCATTTTCCTCCCGTCGTCTGGTTCAAAATTCATCCCCTTGTATTCGATAATCAGCCCCTTTCTTGATTTGGCATGATGTTCATCTGCATTTTGACTCCCTTTCCACCTTACGAATGCCCTGGGTATCCTTGTTTGTCTGAGTCCACCTTTTTCTTATACCCTCCTCATTATTCTACCTCCCCGCCATCCACCACCTTTTCACCCCGCTTCTCTTCTCTTCTTTTCTCCAATTCCTCTCTTCTAATGGTCGTTTTCTGAATTGGGACGGATTGACGGGGCATACCTTTTGTATGCATTGCACTTTTCATGATTTCGCAGAGCGCTGTCCTGATGACATGTTTGTACATAGAAATGTCAGTGTGCCATCTCACGACTCTAACGATTTTTTTTTTCTATTTCTTTTGGACCCCCCTCGCCCTATCTACTTCTTTTGATCATGTATTTTTGTTTAAGTAAAAATTATATCTATTATTTTGTTCTAAATTTGGTGTTCCGATCTATGATCTCATGTTACCTGTCGAATGCTGGGTCACAGTGAAGAAATTTCTCTCAGATTAATTTAGTTGAATCTGACATATCCAGCCTTAGGAGCGCCACATGAGATGTGGTTGTGAATGCCGGGAGGCTGGGCTGGAACGGAGTAGTGCCTGAAACAACACGATCTCGAATTTGGGGGCCCGGGGCGTACTTGCAGGTGTACCTATCGCCAAGGAAACCAGGACATTTGAGGGTCTACCGTTTGGAATATGATTATGACCGGAAGACTCTTTCTGAGAGGGTTGCTAAATGGACCGCCCTTTCTGCTAAATGGACCATGGGCCCTTCAAGTTCTGAATCCAGATTAGTATGTAACCTCCATACAACTTTGGATATACTTAATCTACCTCTATAGCGCTGTAAAAGTTTCTAGTCCTTTGTTGACCTCTCTAGTCTCTGCCTTTCTATAATAGACTAGTACCTACCTGAGGTGGAATAGAGTAGGTAATATATTCTATGCTAGGTAGGTACTAGTCTGCTATTAGAAGACAGTAACTTATAAGAGAAAATAGACAGTTAGAAATTTTTGTAGTACTATTGTAGACATAGATTGAGTATATCTAAATTTGTATGGAGATTACATACTAATCTGGATTCAGAAGGGCCCATGGTCCATTTAGCAAAAAGGGCGGTCCATTTAGCAACCCTCCTTTCTGAGGCCTCTTGGGCGTTTTTCTTTTTCGGGGTGACTGCCCAATATGGGGCGAACTGAATTTTGAGTTGGGACCCGGCTGGGTTTAGTCGTTTCATATCGAGGGAGGATTTGCAGGTTTCCGCCATTTCCCGGGTGTACTAGTTCGCTCTAGTTAACCCCTAGGAACTGTCAGGATTTTGAGACCTTTGAAATGGTAAAGCATAAATGGAGTGAGAGCGAGGGGGGGGGTTGAGATTCTATTCGGAGAATTCCCGTCGAAGATTGCATGTTTGATAGTCATTTGTATTAGGATAATTCAGAAATAACTGTCATTTGTATAGTACAAGTACGTTTGATCTTCAAATTAATTAAAAGTTGATGGATATAGATCAACTGTACCAGAAAATCATGTTCCAGAAGCGAAGAGACACTGTTTTTGGGACCGGGATTCACGATGAAACAGAATCCCCCGTTTCATCAGCCCTGCATCTTACTCTACACAGATATCTCTCCCGAAGTCCACATAAATGAGAACTACCGAACCTCGGCGATCGGTATATGATGAATTGCAATATAAAGGACAGTATGATTTCAACCCGTTCATGAACTGGCATCCTCGATCACTCCTCCAGTCTTTCACTCTCATTACTTCTCCTTCAGAGCTGGCCTCTATTCAATCTTTATCAAAGGTCTTCAACGGATTCCATTCTAAATCACGCATTATTCTCACAATGAAGTCCGCCGTTTTCCTCTACGTTCTTAGCACCGCCCTCGCGGCTCCAACCCGCACCATCGAGGAGCGCCAACTGTCTGGCCTGGGTGGCTCTAGCAGTGATAGCGGCCTGGGTGCTCTTTCTTCTCTTTTCCCCGGCCTGGGTGGTGATAGCTCCTCAACCAGCGGCTTGCCTAGCCCTGAATCTCTCATCCCTGGTGGCTCTAGCGATAGCTCGGATTCTTCCAGCACCGGTGGTCTTCCTGATCTATCTAGTCTTACCGGTGGCTCCTCTTCATCCAGCGGCCTTGGTGCCTTGTCCTCCCTCATCCCCAGCACAGGCGGCGGTTCCTCCACTGGCTCTGGCCTCGGAGCCCTGTCTTCTCTTATTCCCAGCTCTGGAAGCAGCGACTCCTCTGGTCTTTCTGGTCTGGGTGACCTCTCTGGCCTGGGAAAAAGACAGCTAGGAGGATCTACCACCGAGAACGGAGTCACCAGCAACCAGGGCTGCCAGCCGCTGACCTTTATCTTTGCCCGTGGTAGCACTGAGATGGGCAACATGGGCTCTGTCGTGGGCCCCGAGGTCGCCTCCGCACTCAAGTCTCAGTTGAACAACAAGGTCACCGTGCAGGGTGTTACATATGATGCTGGAATCGCAAGCAACGCCGAGCTGGGTGCCAATGGCGGCCCCATCATGGCCAAGCTGGTTAAGCAGGCTCTTAGCCAGTGCCCCAAGACCAAGGTCGTTGTTGGTGGTTATTCCCAGGGCTCCATGGTTGTTCACAATGCCGCCAGCAGCCTGAGCTCCGGCCAGATCAGCGCTGCGGTTCTCTTTGGTGACCCATTCAAGACCCAGGCTGTTGGAAAGGTTGCTAGCAGCAATGTTAAGGAGTACTGCGCCTCCGGTGACCCTGTCTGTGAGAATGGATTCAATGTCATGGCTCACATCACCTACGGCAGTGATGCAAAGGAGGCTGCCGCTTTCCTGATCAAGGCTTCTGGAGTCTCATCTTCTTAGGTTTTATGACTTCTCTGTACGGAATATCATGTAGAGATAGATAGCTCAAGAAATTCGGATTGGTTTTGTCTTGTCTGCAATAAGAGAAATCAATCCAAACATTATCCCGACTATCTCTCCAATATGTAATATACGTAAAAGCTCACCTTGTGCAAGGAAAATAATCTTTTACCTAGGTAGTAGTAGCAATAATAGACTGATGGCATGAAGAGTCGTTGAGCGGCACTCCTTGCGGAAAACTTGAAGCCAGATTCCGAAGGACGAGAGTATCTAATTGGCGTTTACTCGTAGGGTTTATCCATGGATGAAGTGTAGTATTTTCCCAAGTGATTGAGGAAATTCATAAATAAGCCCCCCCCCCCCCCTATACAGAATATCTTTCCAGGTGTCAACGAAACAATTCCAAGGTTCGCAATTCTCTTTCGCAAAGTAGAAACTAAATGCACGAATCCACACAGTAAAATGAGTCATATTGGCTTGGTTAACTAGTGGCCCCAAATGGCCTCCAAATGGCCACTAACCGGATGCGAGACTTGGGTGGTCTCACATTCGTAAAAAAACGATGAAACCCCCAAAGCTCCGAGAGAAAGCCAGAGCCCTTTGAAGCGACAGGGAAAATGGCATCCAATAAAGCTGCGTCGATGTCCGGACCTACCGCCCGAGATTTTGACCCCATCTTCCAACTCTTAGATCCAGCCAGCCTAATATCGCTCAGCCAAATAAACGTCCATTTGCGATGGGTCATCCAGCCGATGAAACTAGACTTCTGCGAGCGGCTCTTGTTCTTTGAATCGATACAACAAGGAGGGAAAACCGTACCTATATATGACTCGAGGACCAACACAATCCAGCCTGACTGCTCTAATAAGGCTGAATGGAAATCGATGTTATGGGCCTATGACGACTGTCTCCGCATGCTACCTCATACTACTTTTAACAACCATCGCATTCTCGGACTGGGCTACCAAAAACCTGTCCCTAACTCGCCCATGGTTACCAAATTTACAAGCTAGGAGCCAGCAAGCACAGGACAAGACCCCACTACAGACGAAGCTTGGCGCCAAAGGCATCACCTTGGTATCGAGTGTGAGATTGAAGTACTCCAAAGGAGATACAGAATTGCGATAACTCAAATACATAATAATGAGCGCTAGGATCAAAGACAGTTAAGATCTCGATTAGCTTGGTTTCAAGAATGCGGAATGGCCGCCTTCGAGGAGATGACTTTCGAAGACTTCGTTGAATTATCAAAGGAACAAGAAGTCGATTGTTAATCCAGGAAGCATTTTCCACCGAATTGGCACACTGCGGTTTCATACGTCATCAATGCAAGTGTAATGAATGTCGGTATCAACGAGGCGAGCTGAGTACTCGACCTCGAAGGATTGGCAACGCACATTGTTCCATGGTTCTGTACATTACACCTATATGACAGATGAAGAAATAGGTGCACGAGAAACAAATAACCAAGAGGAGCTTCGGAAGTGGCCCCGCACCCTGCAAAACGAAGAGATGTATGACGATATGCACTGCAATAACTGCTTCGTACAAGCTCATGGCCGACAGGAGCTCGGAAAGCTCTATATCCCTTTTCTCGAGCAGCGTATTGGGCGCCAGAAGGTGCAGCTGGTACAGGGCATAGATGAGAAAATGGACAACCTCTCGAGAAACTCGTTCGAATGTCCCAACAAATGGACACATGAGATATATAACATAACAGATGGATATTCTGAGATATGGAGAGCCAGTGAAACCAGCGATGAGTTTTACTCGATGGGGGTCTTATCTTGTTACAAGGCCTTGATCAATTTTTTGAGCCGGACGAAGAATGCGGGGAAGAACAACAATTGTCGCAATTGGCACGGGATGGAGGGTCAGATGGACGGTATGCGAAAGGATTATGATCATAGGCTGGTCCAGTTGGAATGGATCAAAGACATTATTCTTCAAGTCAAAGAGCCGGGGAATGTCGAGAAGACGGCCGAGTGGGCTCTAGGTGATACTACGAGACTTCTATATTTCTAGAAGAGATAGTTGGTACATGACAACCTTGGAATGTATCAAATCCATAAGATTCCCAGGTAGCTAGGTGAATACAAGGGAGAAGAACCGAATTGAAAAGCTTCTAAACAATGGATTTCTACCACATCACACCACCACAGACACGGAACATGCATCAAACAAGGTATAATTGCACACCGATAGATATAGTTAAGAAACCAAAGGAAGGGAACGAGGGGATGCATTGGAATAAAAGGATTCTCCAAAGTATAACAAGACAAGAACGGGATATCATCAAGACTCAAACTCAACGACTTTACTCACGACCTCCGCATCGTGAGCGGAAGAAGGCGAGCCCTTGGCTCCGTGCTGACCCTTCGTTTCAGCTTCATCCTTGTTGTCCAGAAGCGAAGAGCCCTCGCCCTTTTCGCGGACACTAAGGACCTCGGCACCTTCAAGGAGATCGCGATCTGCGTCCCGGACACTGCGACGTTCCATGTCTCCGCCGTATGCGCCTGCACCCCAACTGGAGATACCGCCCGCCATTGCAGCGGCGGCGTTACTGTCGCGGCGGAGTTCATCTTCGTCATCATCCTCATCTTCGTCGTCGTCACGGCCGAGGGCATTACGTTCGAGATCTCGCTGAGCCTCGTCCATGCGTTTCTTGACCTCGGCAGCCATGCGAATACCATCTGTGACGATGTTGTCGAGGACACCGCGAAGGCCTTTGCCGGGTGGAACGATCCCACCGGAGGCGCCGACAGAAACGCTGCCGGCAGTAGCGATGTTAGAAGGACGGGCGCTGCCAATGTTGGAGAATGTTGTAAGGTTAGATGATAGAGATGACGATGCAGCGAGTGAGGCTGGGTGAGGGTGGTCGGAGAGATGGAATGATTGCGGGAAATAGGATTCGAAAAATTGCTCGAGCAGTTCATCTGCTAGAATAACCATGCGGAAGGTAGGAAGGGTGATGTGGAGTGGATTGTTGGGGTCGAGAGCTGGGTTTGCGGACTCGGATCTCGGTCGGTTTGGCTCGCCGTCGCCAGATTGGCTTGGCTTGGAAGTGGCATTTGGTGCCGGCTTGTTCGATTTAGAGTCGTCGACGTTGATCAGGTCTTCCTCGTCATCTCCAATGGCGAAAGAGTCTAGTTTGTCTGTCACCTCGGTGGTGGCGTCCTGCTGGGATGCCTTTTGATTCTCAGGGTGGCTTGGGTCGGCGTACTCGAAGCAGCGACGAATGAATGCGCTGACGCTCCCAAGGAAGCGCTCGTCGACTGTAAGAGTATTCTGTTCCGCATGGTCGTGATCACGGGGGCTGTTCAAGTCCTCCAAAGATTGTGTCGCAGTAATTGTACCTTCGAAGCCCCGACGTGAAAGGAAGAGGAATGCCTCGGAGATTTTCAGAATGCCCTCCCGATCAACTTGGCCATTGCCACTATCATCATAAAGATTGAAGAAGTAGTTAATGTTGTTCATGATATCCGGCGACCCCTTCAGTCTGGCCAGTCCATTAACGACATTCTGTAGACTTAATCCTTCTTCAGAATCCGTGGCCCACTTCCGATACAGACGCTGCATGAACTCGTGGTCGGCCGGCTGCCGACGATTGGCCCACAATAGTGACTTGCTGCTGCTGCCCTTGAGGCTGCCGAAGCCAGAGCTAGACTCTGACCTTGAGCCAGCAGGGGTATCCGAAACAGCCCATTTCGAGGTTGCAGCTAGGAACTCACGGAAAGCGTCATAGTCCATATGAGTCGGGCTTGGCCCAAGACCCACACGACCCATCTCTGTGTCTGCAGGGGGGGCCAAGGACCGAAAGACGTTCCGATTTCTTCTTCTCCTGTCGTCTTCTCTCTTCCTCCAAGAGCTTCTGCTGCTGCTGCCATTGATAGAGTGTATCGTAGAAGCGATCGTAGATTGTTCCAAGATCGTCCACACTGAGGCGTTTGCTTTCAGGACCGAGGTTGCGGATTGATGTGCGCTTAGCGAAGTTCTCAATATTCTCCAGAACCGCACCCTTGTGTTTTTCACGTTGCTCTTCAATGGTACTGTGTGTGATGCCAGAAAATTCCTTGAAAGCGACAACCATCAGCTCTTGGAATCGAGTGATGGCACGTAGCTTTGGGTTCTCGGATCTTGGATGGGCAGATTCGTCGAGGCGCGAGAAATAGGTTTTCAGAACCGAGACGAATGATCCGTCATCCTGGACATCAAGCAGTTCCTCGCCATTGATGCGGAGAATGGCCAGGCCGACCTGGAAGAGAACCTTGGGACCTTCAAGGAAAAAGACATCGAGAACACGGAAGGCGAAAACGAGAGGCATAGAGTTGATATACAATGAAAGGAACCATGGAAGAGAAACGACGGAAAGCTGTACATCGGTCTTGATGAGGTGCTCCCAAAGAACAGGCATTGTCTTCTCCACCAGGGATTCGAACACCTTTTGATCTAAAAGGGTACCATACATTGTCGTCGAGTAATAGCCTGGGAGAAGGCGATCGCAGAGAACGGAAAGAAGGAAAAATGCTTGTGCCTCGGACATATAACTGTTTTGCATTAGCAGCTGCGATCGGGAGTGGGAATTCGGGAACAAACATCAATAGAGCGGCAACAACAATATTCATAGCCTGACAGTAGCCAATCTCGGCGTTCGTCCAACTATATGCCGTAAGGACTCGTCGTAGACGACCAATGCCCTCCTCGCTCTGGAAGCCAGGATATTCGGGTAAACTGCGGTTCAAATCCTTTTCAATCTCATCGATTGCAAGAGACTCTTGGCCCTGGAATTTGACCAACGTCTCCTGGTACAATTTAGGAGAGCGAATGCGAAGGAAGAGGGAGCCTGATGAAAGCTCCCATACTTCACCACGCAGTCGATTGGGCAAGCCCACGCGTATCAACTTATGGAATGTTGGTTGTCGAACAAGAGTGGCATTCCGGCCGTTCTCTGTAGAAGGAAGAGTTAGCACCGACCTTGGAAGGAGGAAGGGGGAAAAGACTATCAAATTGTAGGCATACCTCGGAAATATTCACCCCAGAGTCTCATCTTACTCCGGTCTCGAAGCTTACGCGCATCACCAGGATAGCGGAAAAGCATACCCAACCCGGCATCAGGGGGCGGCCGACCATCTCCCTCGCCTCCTTCTTGTGCCTTGCCTTTCGCACCGGAGAGTAGGTATTCCGAGTAGCAGTCACTGACAACAAGTCTTAGATTGTCAACCTCCTTCATGCCCTCTCGCAACCCTTTCTTAAGAGTGTCACAGAATCGCTCGCATGCTTGCCTGCTGCCGACAAGTTGAAGGATCAAGCGCTGTGGGGTAAAGTTGGGCTCTTGTTGCTTGTTCAGCAGGCCATTCCATGTCGTCAATGCGAGTGAGAAAACATGACTAGCACTGTGTAGACGCTCAACTCGCCGGATGCAGGAGAGCGGAAGAGTGAAACCATTGCCAGAAGGACCGGTACCATGTGTTTGACCAGTGAAATTGGTGGACGCGCTAAGTGTAGCCGAGGGCAGGAAGCTTGTCGGTTGGGTAGAGAAGCAGATAAATCGCTCACTGAGATGCAGACGGCCGGTATATCGGTTACCCGTGCGGTCAACGCGACGAGCGCTATCGCCCGAGCCGGAGTTCGAGTTTGGTAAAGGGAGGACGAGCTCGGCGGTAATCTCTTGGAGCGGGTTTTGTGAATCGGGGAGGCGGAATTGTTGGCGGAATAGTGAGGCTTTGGAAGGTGTGCCGTCAGATGAGGAGAGGGAGGGGATATTGAAATTAGCCGGATCGATAAGCGATTGGGCTTTCTGAACGAAAGACGACCACGGAATCATGGTGGGCAACAGTCGAGCTGAGTCGGACCCGGCGTTTAGAGAGGTGATGTCGGCACGGAGCTAGAGCTGCGGTTTAAGATGACGAGCTGATTGGGACAGAACGCTGCGCAAAACGGCCCGTGCTTGGTTTAAATGAGTTTCCAACGGTCATTGTACAATATGAATCACTCATGAACAAGCACTGGGCCTGTAGCTCAGAGAACGTGGGGGGATGGGGGGTGTTGTTGTTGGGAGGGGGCGATGCTGGCGATGTCCGTCGCAGTCACGTGAATGATACCCAGCCTTACAGTCAGCATTTCTCTGAGTAGGGCTCTCAACTCTCAACTACGAGTTCAAACTGATAGATTATTACGGGATAATGTATTTTATTGTTTACAAAAGCTTTGAGGACATAGTTGTACGAAGAAAATCAAAGGAGTATCATTGTAGAGAGAGAAGGAAAATCGCTGTACAAGCTGGACATCACGAGGAGAAAGGAAAGGAAAATATAGGACAACATGGTCATGGGAGAGTGAATCAAACATTGTCAAGTCACGGTAAAGTTTCAAACTGCAATAACGCTTGACTGTTGAATGTGGGTACTTTTGATCGCATGGCTGTTCAGCTTTATCGTCGATCAGGATTGTGTATATGGGTGGTTGAACCCATTTAGTTCTTGTCCATGGAACCACGCTGCGACTCGTTGACGTACTCTGGAAGTACATCTTCGGACTCGGCCATCAGGCCCTGCTTCTCACAAGAGTTTCCGTCCTCCCAAGCAGCCTTGTGCTCCTTGGGCTGGGTGCCGCGGTAGCGTTGCCAGCAGAAGACAACGACCTGGCCCACCAGCATGCCGACGGCACTGGCGGTAAGTCCAGCCAGAACGCCGAGAATAGCAGGGACAACGATGAAACGAACAACGCGGGAGAAGGTGTGGGCGAATGCACCGTGCGGGGGAGGCGGGTGGTGACCGTGGTGACCGTGGTGAGGGCGGCCCGCTTTCTCGGGGAGGTAAGGGCCGGTTTGGTGGCCGTGGTGGTGACCCTCATGACCCTCGGGACTAAAGTCCTCAGGCTTGAAATCACCGTGGGGGTATTCGCCGTGGGGACCCATTTCCATCGTGCCCTTGTGCTTTCCATGGCAGCCCTTGCGGCCACCCTTGTGGGAGGTGAGGTTGATGAGACGATCCTTAGCAGAGGCGAGAAGACCACGGACGCGAGAGACCAGAAGTTCCTGCAGGCACTTGGGCTTGCCCTGGCATTTTTTCCACGATGAACGCTCGGGGGCCGGAGTGGTCTCGATTGAGGTTTTGGCGATGTATAGATCGCCAGTGGGGTCGACAATCAGGGTGATCGCGACAGTATCGACGGGGACGGGGTGAGATTCGATGTCAAGAACGGTGAAACGAACATCGAGGAAGTCGGTTCCGGGGGTATCAGCCGGAGATGGCAGGGGCATAACCTCCAGTGCGTAGCCTACTGGCATGGGATCGGATTCCTCGCCATCTTCCAATTGTTGGACGGCGTGGATTGGAGAAGGGGGGATAGGAGGGAAGATCTGTCGGCCGTTGGCCATGAGGCGGCTATCTTCGATGGTAAAGTCCAGCATCTATATATCCATCAGTAAAGCGCCGTGGAGAGAGGGGGGAGATACTCATGCTGAGCATCAAAAGTAACGACGTACCAGAGTAGAGGGCTTGTTGTCAGTCCAGCTGACGGAGCCATCCTTGTCAGTCTCGCGGAAGGGGCACTCAGTGCAAGGAACATCAACCACGGCGTTGCGGATATCCTCGAAAAGCATGGGATGGACGTTCATGAAACCGTCTTCGACGGCCTCCACCTTGGGTTCCATCTCAGGGATAACCAGCATAGCGCTGGCGCCCAAGGCGGCAGTGCCACCCAGCAAGAGGGAGCGAACGAACATGGTCGAAGAGAGTATGGGTGTAAAGAGCGGACGTCGAAGACAATGAAATTGGATAAATGGAGGAGCAGAGAGGAGGGGGGGAAGTCAAGTATTCGTACTCGTAGGAGTGTAAGTTAATAAGAGTAAGAGAAGAGGAAGAGGGGAGGTGCTAAGTGGAGACTGATCAGTCTTTGGCGGCGACTGCAAACCAAAAAGTGGAGCAGGTGACGCACGCAGCTGCCGTGGCTTCCTTCCAGTGGAGGACGGTGATTGGCTGCTGATGGTCACATCTCTGGCGTATCGCCGTCGTGTTACTGGAAAACCGCCCGTGACCATAATACTATACGTCACCCGCATTAATGCCCCCTCATGGACTTTCGCGGCCGGTATTACCGTGACAACACAGTAAATCGTTCCAGCCCCGTTCGGACTCGCAAGGCGATCGGCGCTAACTGCGGAGCCCAAGTCCGTTGATATTGACATATTCTAGGGAAATAATCTATAGATTCGTTGTATTTATTGATTGGACTCTTATTTTTGAAAATAATATACTCCGTACTAGTATATAATATATACAGAATACAGTGAGTAAAGATAATATCATTTCTATACTGCCCCGTCTCTGTTCATCTGTGGATCATCCCTATCTATCACTCTACCCCGACTTCCCCCAGCCCACCACTGTTCATGTCTATCACTGCAATGCCACCCGATCAACATCCAGCCACTTTTTCCACTGCCCATTACTATAAGGGGAATCCACTACTCGGTACTCTGCTTGAGCTCGACGCATGCGAGCCATCATCCGATCGGACGCCGTGTTGGCCGCAACAAACTCTCGATAAAGCCGCCAATCCGCGATGAGGTACATGGCCGCAACACAGACTGCGATGCCAACCAATGGCTGTATGAGTGCTCTCGGTCGCCGCTTGAGATAGATCCAGATCCATCCCGCCAGACTATACTCAACGGCACTCTCTTCGACAATTCGCATTCCCTTCGTGGTTGTCTCGGTGGAGTCAGCCGACGTCCGAACAGCAACGATGCGCGACAGTTCTTCCTCTGATAAAGAGACCGACGCCCGCGGTGTCTTGAATGGTGAACGGTGCTGTTCCCGCCGTTTTGACTGAGGGAATCGTGCCAGGTTTGGCTTTGAGACTCGCTCTGGGAACTCTCCTTTACTTCGGGTGCGTGGTACGACGACATCTTGTTGGCTTGTTCTGCTCACGTAGTTGTGTACAATTGAGCTCCTCGGGCCTATATCAGGATGTGCGTAGGGACTGTAAGAGGTTCTCGTGCGCTTTTTCCCCAATGATAGCTGAATCAGAGGCTCATCTGCATCCACCGCGTGAGAATGGGATCCGGGGCCCTTGTGTAAGCGCTTTCGAGAAGCAGTGGCTGCACGTGTGGCCTTGTCACTTCGAGATATAATGATCTCTTCAGGGACGTTTTCTCGAGGCTGGAAGCCTTGGAGGCCGAGGTGGTCTGTATTGTTCGACCCGGGATGCTGGCCAAGTGGACTGGTGTACTGGTAAAGACTCGTCCCAGAGAAAGTGGCCATGTCGGTCATGTATCCGGAGTCCTCTTCATCTGTGTCATTACAGTATCGTGAAGACCGTCCCTTCAGATTGTCCTCGACAAATGTATTAAGACTTGTAAATTCGGCACTTTTTGCAAAGGGTGACGCGTCAGGCGAGAGGAAAAATTTGAAATCGTTATCTTGCTCGGCATCGGAGCCAGAATCACTCTCAGACTCCTTAGTCGGTAGCTGGTGGAGCCCGCTCACGGAGAGTGGTCGGAAGTTCATCACCTTACTGAACGATGAATATCCACCTTGCGCTAGCTCGAGCTGTTCGACTAGCTGGCGAGACCAAATGTACTCCGTTCGCAGGAGGAGATCATGAGATATCCTGACAGCCTCATCTGACAACAGTAGTGTCTTCTGCATGAAATTTCCATATGAATTCACTTTTTCCCAGAATGACTTCTTGGGCTCTGAACACAATATAAGATCTCTCAGTTTCTTCCACTGATAGATTTCCTCGCAGAAAATGTTGTAGTAGCGGTTATCGGTGATATAGGATTTCTCTACCAGCGTGTCTAGATCCCGTTCTAGCAGGTCCACCCGTTGCTTCATGAATTCGAGCTCAGATTCAAGGTTGCGCTCTCGCTGCTTGAAAACTTCGCCCAATTGCCGGATCTGGTAATGGTCGCTCTCGAGGTCAAATATATAATTCTCTCTTATATCAGCCGTTCGCAATTCATCGTTAAGTGCTCGTCTGAGGCTAAGGTTCTGTTCTTGCTGATCTCCGTCGAGTGCTTGGCCCGCTGCAAGCTGTTGTTCATAGGCAACCAAAAGCCGATGTAGACGTTCTATCTCCGCATTGTGTACTTCCGATTGGCTTTGCGCTAATTGAGTAGCCGTTCCTGCGATCTGCATCTGCTCTTTTTGTATCGCATCAGACAGTTCCTGTTGTAGAGCATGGATCTGTGCTTTCTGCTGCGAGTTAATAACTTGCCCCTTGCCAACCTTTTCAGTGTATTCCTTCAATCGATTTTGCAGGCCCCGGATTTCTGCCTGTGATCCTTGATTATGGGCTGAGTCTTTTTGATGTCTCCCCAGAGCTTGTTGTGCTTCCTTCTTAAGCTTCTGAGCTTTGCGAAATTTTGCGGCCTCTTCGATATGCTCTTGTGGATCCTGCATATTTAGCGGTGATACACTTCCTGAATGGTCCATTGCCATGCCCATGCTCTGCGTTTTGGCTTTTGGTGCCCGCTTGGTGACCTTAGCGCCGGTCGCTTCGCTTCTTCGGTATGGATGCGCCATGTTCGTGGTCGCGCCCAAATCAGTCAATGCTGCCAGTAGGATGCTTAACAATGCCCCGCAGCCCAGCTTGACTGAATGAGATATGGGTTGGCGTGAAAGAAAGAAATTGCAATCGTTAATTTATCGTTCCGAAGAGAGGTCCGTTGCCGCTTCCAAGGTTTCAAGTTCCAGCCTTGATTAACTTTTCTGGGTTCCTGACTGTTATATATAAAAGCCTCGAGGCAGCCTGGTTTCTTTGTTTAATACATCTCAAAGCCTATTGTCATGATCCTGCTTTTCAAATCTGTCACGGGACTACTGTCTCCTTTTGAGTATGTTTCTATATTGGCATGACATTTCGTCATCTGTTCTTTGAGATTCTTTGTTGATGTCTTTGTCTAGTTTACAGACGGAAGCCTACAATACTATTTGTCTTGCATAACGGATGAATCTCAAACATAATATTAAATAGAGTCAGGAGGATTAAAATTTCTCTTGGTCCGTTTGGAAAGGAGCAGTCCTTAATGGCTGCAACAAGAGTTCTTCAACGCAGGAGCGAGCTAATGAAACACAGCGGAGAATGAAAGGGAAAGTAGATGATATTCCAGATCATGCCCAACATCCACAGCCGAAGTCAATCAGTCCATCCATAGAGTTTGACTTTGAAGAGGATGGAGAAGTCGCGCGAATTTCCTTTGCGCAGGTGGTGGGATTTGGGCCGAGCATTGGAGGTTGAGCGACTGGTTTGTAGCGAATGTTGGATGGGATTAATAAGATCGATGGGCGGGAAGTGAGAGATAAGTGAAGTGACTGTATTGCTGGAACTTCTCACAAAATGCCTTGATATAGCCAAACTCGCTCCGCAAGTGTTTCAAGATCCGCCCCACTTATGGTCAAGTTGGCCTCGGGACCCTGGAGATGGCCGGTCAACTTTCGGAAATCAATGCTGAGATCTGGGGCACTAGAAGTTGTGTCATTGTTGCGTGAGATTTGGAAACTTTCAGTCCGAGAAGCAATGCGGGGAGGCGAGAATCTTGTTCTTCCATAGTCTGGGTTTAGAGTAAGTTCCCATCGGTCAATCTGTATATTTGGAATATTGCGGTCGATTCCGATAGTGATCACAACTTCGACAGATGAGTCTGAAGACTGAAGCCAGCCGCGGCTGATCAAATTGAGTTGGCGCTGAGACTGTGACAAACCGACTTCGAGAATGATTTTCGGACGTAAATGGTCAGAAATATGGGCCCAACTCGAGTCAGCTTCTTTTCTGAAATTTCCCATAATTTTCGTTCCCGAACCAGGGTTAAGAACCTCACTATCTAAGTGCAATCCGTCGACTTGTCTCGCCACTAACTTATCAAACTCCTTGATAGCGATTTCGTGAGAGTCAAGAGGCATGACTTTAACAGCCAATGTTTCGGTAGGAACACTATAGTAAAGGCGACGGTGTTTCGATTCCGGTTCCAAGGATAGAGTTTCAAAATCGGAGAGTTTGACTTCAGTAACGACAAGAAATTGTTGGCATTTTTCGTTATTTTTCAATGCGGTCTTGCGAGCGGATATGATTTTGCGGAAGTTTTGAATGCTCAGAAAGCGGTGATTGTCCTCATCGCCGAGTTCGAGATAGAAAGCGTCGAGTTGATCGATTTCCGGATTGAGGATACCATGAGCATCCTCAGGGAGAGAACGGGGCTTGCTTCGAGTATTCATGATGCGCGGATGAAAGTTGACAGAGGAAATAGAGATGTTGATTAGGAAGGCACGATATGATCCATAGATAACCTTGGCGGGTCACGTGATTTAGCGTCCCTTCCGCCTGGAGCAGGCCTGTGATTGGTAACGTAATTCAGAAGCGAGCCACTCACACTGTGCCAATATCTTGTGTTTACTCCCATCGCTCGTAATCCGGGAAATATTTGTCGTGGATTCGCCCGGCGTAGCTCACAAGCGCTGGGTAGCTGTTCACAACCTTCTTTGTGGTCGGGGACCTTCTGCAAGTCAATATAGTGCGTCAAATTTGATGGATTGAGAGGAGATACTCACGCTTCGCAGATAAGGGCAGAAACAATAAAACCAAATAGAGTTGCATCAGCCTCAGTGGGCATGTCGCCACCCCATAGCCAGAATGGACCCTCCCGATCTTGATACTGGGCCTGTGCAGCCGACACTAATGCATTCAGACTCTCCCAGATATTCGCACGGAATACGGTGATTTCCCCAGCGGAGAAAGTCCCTGTTCCCTGGCCTCGCAAGGTGCGGACTTGTTTGTTATAAGCTAAATTGCCAACAATAACTTGTACAGGCCAGGGCAGGCCGCCGAGGATCTTGGCGCGCATAGTGTAGTAATTTTCAATCCATCGCTCTTGTCCCTATCATTGAAAGATTAGACCTGAAGGAGGATGCAGCTTTACAGTACTGTAGAGGTATCGAGGACTTGCTGCGTACCTGGTAGAAATACAGTTTGTCCTCGAGCAGAGCTCTAGTGGAGATGTCGTGGGCCTTTTCCACAGGTGACAGTTGGGAATTAAGGTCATTGAGATATCCAGACTCAATAAATAGATTAATTATCAACCCGGAATCGCCAATGGACTGGGATTGACCATCGTGCATAAGGGTGATATAGGGCACTTTTCCCCTCGGAGCCTTTAGTGGAGACCCGGCCTCGACACTGTAAGAAATTCCACCGAAGCGCAAGCGAGCCTCAAGCTTAGTGACAAATGGTGACCATGTATAGCAGCCCTTTTCGGGGAATCCTCGGAAGACTGTGATGACTGGTGCGGAATTCGATGCAGCCATGGTAGTCGGTAGGGTACACAATGTAGGATTTGTAAAAAATTATTGTATTTTGCAAGGATGCAATGCTACAAGTGATGCGTTGAGGAAATACGAGGTGGGAGTTGAGACAATAAAAAGAAGCTTATGTATAGCCCGCCTGTGGACGTTGGGGACTGGATAGAGAATGCAAAATGCGAGGCCGACGATCTGCTCAAGGGTCCGTATTTAGGATTTGGGGCTGATTATCTCGCATAGTGCTTGATCGGGTCGGTCGTTGGTGAACAACCGGGAATAAGCCTCAGCCCGTAGCCACTCACGAGAGGGCTAAGATCCAACAGCTCCGAGCTAAAACGCGCGATCTGCTCGGCCCGGAGTCTGCGGGTTTTGATGGGCCTCGACTCTCCACCTCTCCACCCGTGGTAATTGGAGTGGTTAGTAAACTGCTGGTTTCTTTCTTTTAGAATTTTGTTTGCGACTGCAGATTCATAATCAACTGCAAGCTCCGATTCGGCGATTCTACGATCCCGACACTGATTGTTGCTTACTGTTGACCACATTCAGATGTACTAGGTTTACTGCTGTGATTGCCTCCTTTCTCTTCATACCATCGGGTACGAAATGTAGTATATCCGCGGATAGTGAATGCTTATATGCACAAGCTATTTAAATGGCTAGAATTATTGGCCTTGAAAAATTAGAGTCTATGTATAAATTCCCTGATGGCTATTCATTCAAAGCTTGGACTTCTTCTTGCCGGTGACATTGGGCACATCCTGGCCAGAGAGAAGGAAGTCGGGATATCTCAGCTTGTCGCTGGCGGAAATGCCTCCACTCATGCGCCAGTTCGAGCCATCAACTAGGAAGGAGATTAGCAAATGTATCATGCCGTTCGGTGTGAGTAGCCAAGAAGAACTTACCAACGAGCGTCTGGCCGGTTACATAGCTCCCGGAATCGGAGAAGAGATAGACGGTAGCATCGGCAATATCACGAACATGGCCAACACGGCCGAGAGGTTGCGACTTGATGTAGGCAGCCTTTGCGTCGGATGGAAGCAGACGCTCCAGGCCCTACGGTTTTTCTTTGTCAGCCAGGGCTCAAACGCTACTTTGGGCAGGGGAACGTACCTCAGTCTGCGCAATCGGGCCAGGAGAAACAATGTTGGAGGTCACTCCACGTGGGCCGTACTCGATGGCCACGGAGTTGGACAGCGAGTCAATGCCGGCCTTGGCAACGGACACATGGGCCTGGAAGGGCATGCCACGGTAGTGCAAGGTGGCGCTGACAAAGATGATTCTGCCACCAGTTCCTGCGGGGGAAGGTTGTACTAGATCGGATCAGCATGGTGGGCCAACGAAATGTAGTCGGGAGAGGATATACATACGAGTCCCGGAATCCACTCTGTGCTTGCCGCCGGACTCAACCAGATAAGGTAGGGTCGCCTTGAGGGTGTTGTAAGAGCCCATGATGTCAATATCCATCACGGTTTTGAATGCATTGATGGAAAGCTGTTCAATGGAGGCCAGGAAGTTACCCGCAGCTCCGGCACTGTAGGTTGGCCAAGTCAGTAAGCAGAACGGATCGCTACGGTAAGCAAAATGGCATACATGACGAAGTCGATGGAGCCGAGCTCCTTAGCACAGCGTTCAGCGGCAGCCTTCAGGTCATCGAATTTGCGAACATCGACAGCACCGATACCGATGACCTTGGCGCCTGGTCGAATAGTTGCCATCTCTCGAGCGACGCTCTCGGTCTTCTCGACGTTGCGGCCGATGATGCAGGCATTGGCGCCGAGGTGAATCAGAGCACGAACCTGGGCACTGCAGATTGTGCCAGCTCCGCCGGTGCAGAAGACGACTTTGTTATCTAATAGGATGGTTAGGCCGATTATCCAAGGAGTGATTTGGGCAGCGGTGGGACTCACTGAAGATGCCATCCTTCCAGACATCGCTCATGTATTCATGCTTGGCAAGAGGCATAGTGGAGGTGGGAGAGATGATGATAGCAGGGGGTTATGGAGAGAAGAAGTTCCACAGAATTAAGGAGTGGAATGTCGCAAGTTGAATCTTAACAGATTTAACGTTGTAGGAAAGAACGGAGTCGGAGCTGAAGTGGTCCGTCGCGGTTTCCCCACAAGCACAGCCGGGGACCGAGGTTCATTATTACAGTTACAGTATGTACAGTTGAGTAATCAATAGTTGCATAGCATACTGTAGTATTGTATTTAGTGCTACTGTAGTATATTAGTAGTGTACTAGTATGAATATGCAATACTCTAGAATAGTATAAAACTATACTCTACCACACTGTACACGCCCCGGCGATGCGACCGGCTAACCCCATATCTCCTACCGCGTCTACTACATACTATGACCTCCTTGACCAATCGAGTGCATTATCCAAAATACTCCCTGCAATAATTATTCCACTCTGGATTATGTTTCCTGCGCTGCTAGCGCCCTGCAATGTTGAAGAACGTGGTGTTGCTGATTGGCCTGGAACGACGTCACGGCGCCAAAGAAATGGAGTGGCCGCCTTCTTTGCTTCCAATCTCTCTTCCCTCCTCCCTCCCCTCTCAACTGACTCAACTGACTCAGTCGCCTCATTGCACCCCTCCATTCCCACCGGGGTAAAATAGCTATCCGCCACTCCTGCGCCATGGCCTGCCCCATCACCGTCTCCAAGTTTGTCGGGACCGTGTCGCTTGGTCTCCTGACCGTAAGCCCAACTCTTTGATCTCTGCGCGATCGCATCAAGACACCCCAACAATCGTTTGGCAGCCAGCAATCCATGCTAACCTCCGTCGCACCAACAGGGTCTCTCCTACTCGACTTCCTCCATCACCATTCCCGCCCTCAAGCTCCTCCCCACCTCTTCCACTGCTTCCCGCTGCCTCAATGAAGTCAAGCGGCTGAATCGCAAACATACCCTCAATTTCTCCGCTCTGACCAACACATGTATCTTTTTCGCATACTCCGTATCTCCTCCGCACCGTCAACATCCCTACATGCTCTGGATGTATGTTCTCAACACGGTCAGCTCGTATGGCTTGGATTACTACTTCAACCGCCACCTCGGTCTGAAGAACTGGGTCATCGAGGTGGTCTGTGATACAACGGGCTTGTCACTGGGTAAATCACCCAGCAAGAAGGAAGAGGATCTTGTCCTCGTTGACTCCGAGGAGGATGTGAACGGAGAGAGCGTTCAGCGCGAAATGGACCGGGAGCGTCGGATGCACCTTGTTCGAGCTTGGATCTCTGGTATTGCCTTCTCAGTGGGAATCGTCGGTCTATGGGGAGATAAGAAGTGATCGGAACCGAGCCAAAAAATGGTCCACGGCGTGTCTTTCCATATCTTTCCCATCATTTTTTGGCGCGACGGCGATACACGGATTTTTTCTTTTTCTTTTTTTGATTCCACCCTTCTTGAAGGTCAGGCTGCGAGAGATGCGCGGTAGATCTTCTTGACGGGCTGGCTATTTAGCGCGATTTGATACCTTTTCTCTATCTTCGCTTGTGTACTGCAATTGCAATGTACTACAATTTACTTCGGTCAATCAACCTCTTCTCCCTATACTTATCCCTTACTCCTCCGCTCTGCAGCCTTGGTTATTGTGTCCTCTTTTAGAGACTCAGCGACAAGTTTTGGCGATGGCCGACGACCAATCGTGGAGATGAAGAACTATTGCGCTCTACAACGCTGCTTAAGCTTCGTTTCTCTCTCTCCCCGCAGGGGTTCTCTCCTCCTTTGATACCAGCATTGGATTCGCCTAGTTTTGAACGCGGTTAAATTGTGCAACCGAACTTAGATACCGGGCTCGCAGAGATTCGATATCTAATATTGTGATATTCGACGCGTTTTGGAGAATACCAAGACCCCAAGATGTCAAGAGGAAAATTGATCATCCCCGCATCTGGACCCCAAATTATTTACTGGT